TAGTTAGTTTCCAATAGTAGTAGTAATCAGCTTTTTCTTTAAACCTAAACTAATTTTCTTTTCTATTTTTGTTGTACGTGTTACTTTAACGAAATATGCGATTACAACTCTCGTCCTAACTTTGAATTTATTTAAAACAACAATTAACAGCAGCTGTAAAAACCTTTACTTTTCTGTGTATTTACTCTCTGCTGCTTATGTGGATAAATGCGATCAGGCTCTGAAAGTATAAAGGGACAATCAATATTCAGGTACTTAATGTAAAGGCTTTGTAGCTTTGTTCTTTATCCATAGTGGTTAATTATTTTATCCTTCTTGGGGCAAAATAGTTGATTTAAAGACGCTGAGCAATTTTTTCTGTGTATCGCAAAATAACTTCATTTCCGGTACAGATGTCGATTCTGTTGATGACTACGAGTTTGTTTTGTACTCTAACAGGATATTTATTCTTCACTATTTATCTCTGGAACGTATAGTCTGTTATTCGATCCGTCTAGTTTCTTTAGGTTCTGTGAAATGACCGAAACATGAACTCTGCTATGAACTTTCTTAGTGGTTTCACAACAAAGGAAACAGCACTTCTGTAAAACTGATCAAAATTTATTTTCTCTCTATAAACATAACTACAATATTGTGTGAACTCCTGACGAGAATCAATAACAATTAACTTGTTAAAATGTCCAAATGCTTAGAGATACACATCAAGATTTAGTGGTGAGATCTTCGGACTTCAGAATGGAAAAATCAGCATGGGAGCGTCCACTTGTCAGAGCTTCAGGTTGTCACTCTCTTTGAATGTGATCCGAAACCAGCAATGACATCACGCTGTCCCAATTACTTAGTTAAATTCAATGTGGAAAATGGTCGCTGACGGGTGATCTCATCCCGTATAGTGCAATAAGAGACGAATTGTCTAATTTCGAAGGAAATGTTCTCCGAGGAAACCGAATTGTTGTGCCACAGTCGTTGCGGAAAAAAAATTCTGAAATTGGCATACGAGGCCCATCAGGATATCGTCAAGACTAAAAAGTTCTTCGAGCTTGTCTTTTTTTGGCCTGGTATGGATGATGCAACAGAGACTATGGTGAAGAATTATCAAGCGTGCGTTGTTAATCAGCCTCTTAATAAGTACACGCCACTTCAACCAAACCTTTACCTCGTGGTCCTTGAGTAAAAGGTCCACTAAATCTCGTTGGTCCAATCGATGGAAAATCCATTTCGACTTATATCGATTATTATTCATCCTATCCGGAAGGTACGTGTTTTTCCGTACTATGTGCGAAGCAACGAAAAATTAAAGGATAACTTTCGAGCAGCCATCAGCGAAGGTAAATCCTGGCAAATGGAGTCGCCTAAAAATTCATGCGCTACAGAGCAAATCGGCTTCATACTAGTGGAAGACCACCTAGTATGCTTTTGATCAATCGCAAACTTCGAACAAAAAAGCGTCATCGGCACTCTATCGCGAACATTGGTCAAAATCCAATTTGTAGCAAACGCGTTCGAAGGCATATCACGATAGAAGGAAACATGCAGAACCGCATTATTTCAAAATTGGCGATCTCGTACTTTGTGCCAACAAGAAACCAGACGAACTAGATTTGAATTTCTCTACGGCCAAGCTCGTAACTATTGAGACCAAAGCAAGAGACACTTTTAGTTTAGTCAATGTGGACACGGGTACCACTTTGAGACTCGATGCGAAGTTCCTCAAACATGCATCCAGTCAGCATATTGGTAACGACATTGATGTAGACATTAGTGCTAAGACTGAGGAGTCTATTGACCATTCAGTGAAAAGAAATGACACTATCAAAAGTACCAAGCCCTCTAGTAAGGATCCGGAATATTTCTCGGATTAGAAAGTTTTTGTCAGTTAGTAGTACTAAGGCGTTAGTACACGCCTTCGTCACATGCAGATTAGACAACTGTAATACTCTGTTATATGGTCTTCCGAAACATTTAGTTCATAGATTGCAATTAGCCCAGAATTGTGCGGCACGGCTGATCTTATGTGGTCGTAAGCATGAACACGTTACTCCTTTACTGAGGGAACTGCACTGGCTTCCCGTGGAGCAGAGGATTATTTTTAAAATGTTATTTTTTACTTTTAAAGCTTTAAATGATTTATGCCCAAGTTATATCAGTGACTTGTTAGAAACTTATAAGCCTACTAGGTCTTTACGATCATCGAGTAGGAACTTGTTAGTGATTCCTCGCTCCAAGTTGAAATCTTATGGCGATCGCACCTTTTCTGTCTCTGCACCTAAGTGTGTAATAACATTCCTGAAACCATAAAATGTATTGTAGATCTTAACGCTTTTAAGCGTAATCTTAAAACTTATCTTTTTAAGGGTTATTTTATGAATGATTACGTTTGATTATTATTTTTATTTTTTATGTCAACCACTATTCGTCAAAGTTTAAAAATTTCTAGTCGAAGTTCCTTTCGAAAATGGCGCGTTTCGAGTTCGACACCATTGTTTTCAGCCCACGCTTGAATAACAATGGCTGTTAAAACTAAACAATAGCCTATTGAGAAAATTGAGAGGTTTTACGTGGATTTTTTACTTCTTAACTTATTTTTTTTCGAGGCTTGTTGTAATTTAACAGCGACTGTATTGTGGTTTTGAGATGATGAACACCAATAAGCCCTACTGGGGAGTGTTGATAAATTTTATATTGTATTGTATTGTAATTTAAAAATTGACAGTTTTTACCAGTAGATTCTTCTGCACTCCTCCTTCTTCTTGAGACTCTCTCCATTCCCATGCCCCTAGCCAGTTGATGACTCGCGCTGGGTTGGCGCGAAAATTATTCCTGTTGTCGTTTTCTTTCTTTTCACTTTCTTTTAATGACGGCGGCTTTTAGAGTCCTTCAATTAGTCGCTACTTACACATACATAACGGGGAGTGATAAGTCCGCAATAAAGTGCAGAGTTTTGTTTTCGAGGTTTTGAAGATTTAAGAAGTGTGTAATGAACTTTAGTAAAAAGGAAAAAAGGAAGCAAGGAAGAAAGAGAGAGGGAAGAGGAAAATGCAAGAAAGCGAGAAAAAAAGGGAAAGGGAAGAGAAAACTGCTCAGTTATTTTCTTTGGACAAGGAAAAGAAACCGAGTTCCTAACGTACTGAAAATACCTAAGAGTAACATGTGGCTCGAGCAATCGAGAGTCAAGGTCACGTTTATGCATAAAATATCACGCATGACCACATCATTAACAGTTACGAAACTGAAACTCGAAACTGAAAGCCACGCCGACGAACAGACTTTTAGAATCACGAGAGATGCTGGGTTTACCTTTTTTGGTCATAAACTAAAACTTGGAGTATAGGGAATCATCTGCCTGATGATTTTTTTCACGCAAGTAACTTTGTTTCTCAGCAACTTAAGAGTGAAGTAAATCCCGCATCCACGCCTAGAGATCTCATTTGAGATGGAGTCGTCAGAAAACGAGACTATCTCTTTGGGTCATATCCATCCAAAACCTGCAAGTCTTGGAGAACAACTCTCCATTACGGGAAGCAGAGATCTATTGACAGCTGCCGATCGTTCTTGTAGATCCTACCGAAGAGTTATGGTCATTCTTGTTGCTATTGCAGTGGCAATTTCTGCAATCATCGCGGCAGTGTTCATCAGAAAATACGTTTCGGAATACCTAAGTGATGATAACAGGAAAGGTAAGTATCAGATGTCACTCAATTTTCGCTATTTATTCAGAAGTCAACGATAAAAAAACAACATATCTGAACAAAAGAGAGAAGTTGGTCGAAATTTCAGCACATCGATGTGTCATTGTCGATGTCCTCAGTAGTAGAAAGTGATCATCTCATTTTCACGTGAAGCTAAAAGCTAACGGACAAAATTAATCAATAGATATATATATGGACAAGACGATAAAGTAAGTATTCAGTTTGATAATGTAAATGATAAGCATTAAAGAAGGAAACATGTAGGAGCACTTTCGTCCGCGTTGTCCAAACCCCGCCAGATTTATTTTTCAAATTCGATATCAAAAGCTTCGTTAATTTAAAAATACCAATTCTACAAAAAAGTCGTAAAGCTGGCGTTTTTGTCCTCTCATCAATGTTAGGGTAAGAGCGATAAGTTTTAAATGTGCTTTGGAAATCAAAGAGGAAAGCGATCCGTTGACAGAACATGCACGAGCACATAAGTAGCTGCGAGGCTACTTAGGAACTTAAGACTTAAGAGCATTCCAGCAGAAAATTTCAATTGTATAATATTATCTGCCTGTTTGAATTACTCAGTGGGTACCAAGCGTACGTTTCTTACAACAGTGAAGTAGGTTCCTGAATACAACCAAAAGTTACAAAATGGCCTATGATGAGCAGATAGCCATTTTTAAAGGAATCATGTACAGTTCAATTTTTGGATCATTTGCGATCCGGATTAACTTTACTAAAATTGTCTTATAACTTTTTCTTAAAATAATAAACAGCGCTGCACGAAATGAAATACTAAAAACTTGTTTCATGCTCCTACGCGTCTTATCTGACAGCAGCAGGAGTTTATACAAGTAGGCAAATTAGCTTGCTCAGATACGCATGGTTAATAAGATGTCTATTTTCGACTTTTAATCAAAGGGCGAAGCAAAAGTGTGACAAAAGTGTTGTACATGCGTGACATTTTTAAGACGTTACATATAAGAGTACGTATTTCATGATGGTGGTGACAGATTAAGAACTAAATCTATGAGCTGAGTTCCTGCAAGTTTTGCACACGAATTTCGGTTCTTGAGTCCATGCTGTTTTGATGTAAGAGGTAGAAATAGCAGCTCTAATTTCACTTTAATGGCGTCTTCAATTGTAGGGTGTCACGATGACAAATGGCAAGTTCACTCGAATAATTTGCTTTTCCTTGATAATTTATTACTTATATAGCGCAAAATACATGTGGATATGATCTAATGCGCTTGTGTAGGTCAGAAAGGAGATTTTGTTTTGATATTTTGTTTTCTTTAACTCTAGATTGCACTGAACTATATGTTCTTCGGACAACAATCAGGCCAGACCGATGTCATATTTCCTCCCAGGGTTAAAGTTAAAATGAATGTTTTCACGCTCTTGTGTTGTTCCTCTATTAAGCTACCTTTTCCTACATTACTTGTGTCCCCAGGCATCGACGAGTGCAGCACTGGAAGCTATGTATGTGACATGAATGCGAACTGTACTAACACTGACGACTCTTATATCTGCGCCTGTAAGGAAGGATACACCGGAGACGGGCATTCATGCCAAGGTATAATCACTGCATTCGACCTAGCAAATAGCAGAATAAAGTTTCTCAAAAATAAAAAAAAAACTCTCTCCATTAAACTTAAAAATTTAATGTTTGTCTCCGTGTCAAGTAACGTTTGGCAATTGATTTTTGTTCACAGATGTCAATGAGTGTAGCAATGGCAACCATGTTTGCCATGTTAATTCAAACTGTAACAATACAAATGGTTCTCATATTTGTACTTGCAAAGAAGGATACACTGGAGATGGGCAGTCATGTCAAGGTAAATAAGAGTAGCCCACACTATTTAAAATAAGCAGCTTTGCTCATAAGCTATCGCCCATGAAAATTAGCCCTGATTTTAGAGGCCTGCACAGAAAAAGTGAGGATGTTACGGTGACACCAAGGGCAGTGTAATTATAGACCATATTGGTGTTGACACGACACTAACCAGGTGTAATTAGAACATTACACCAAGTTAGTGTTAAGGAACACCAACTAAAGTACTGTATAACACCTTGCTGGCGTTTTTTAACCCTTTCGCTATGTAAAGAAATCCCCTGCAAGGGTTCAAAACCACCGGTTTATAAAGTCACACTGAGTGGTGTAAGTGTGTGCAATTCAGTGTTAAATAACACCAAACAAGTGTGAAATGTCTTAAACGCTGGGTTTTCTTTTTCAAACAGATCTGAAGTAGAATAATGACGTATAGGCTGAGAAATCACAAAAATATTCTTGACATAGTGATTCTATTTATCTGTTATTACAACGGAAACACACGCCTGAACTACGTAAATCCAAGACTGACATGACTTATTCGTGATTTACTAAAATCCTAAGCTATTTCCTGTCAACTTGATTTTAACAGCTGTTTCTCATTATAGACCGATCAACACTTCTGTAATTTACACCCGCACGCAATATTTGCTGCACGAACGACACATCACGCAACGTCACAGGATGTTCCACCCCAAACGGGCACGCAGAATTTCCCTTGACAATTCCTTATTTAATTATTTCAGACCATTATTGATTTTCTCTATCACGAACATTCTCACTACAAGTCTGCCATTACCGTGCTACGTTCAATTATACACTTAAATCTTAAGTAACCCAACTGTCATGAAACCCTGAGCTTAAAGGGCATGTAAACCCAAAAATACATGTTTTTCTTATACTCTGTAAAAAGTGGCGTAGAAAACGAATTTGAAATTAGTTTTGTCCAATTCGACTTATTTTAGGAGAAAATCGGCATTTTCAACTGAAATTCCATTTCCGGTAGAAACAATAGCGAGAAGTCGTGACGTAAGCGGTGGAACCAAAATATTGCGCAACACATATTCCCCAGTAGAACTGGTGTGGGAGTTCGTGTAAGTGGCGGTAGTTCGGAAGATGTTTTTTCAGAAGATAGCTTGAATGCCTTAAGCTTAAAACATGACAGCGCTGGGGATAATCCAGAATCTTCAGGAGAGTCTGGGCCACGTCCTTAACAATATGAGCCGCGTAGAGTTCACCGAAGCGATCCGCACGAAGACAGTCTCAGCCAGTTTCCTGGCAGGAAATTTCGCCTACAGATAGCTTGTTCGTTGGTGTTGGGGATATCTCGGCAAACACTTTAGGGTCGCTGTGCTATCTTGTGCGGTAAACAATATCCTTCATCTCAGAAGCATTTCCATCGATAAACAAGTTGTATCATGTACAGCTCAGCGCTGGCTCCCGAACAACTGGCTTCCCCATAATATTTCATTAGATGAGAAAAAAGATGTTTTTAGAGAACCAATAAAGCTATTGTTGTTTAATTAACGAAACGTTTTCGTGTAAATCGATTTTGTACTTTCTCTGTTGACCTCTAACTTTTGAAGAACTCAACTTCTTTCTCAGTTCGGTCGGCCACTTCCGAATCCTCGTCGTCTGCCGACTGTATGGGTCGTTTTTATACTTGCGAACAATTTGCTTCTGGTGAGGCCTGAATCGTCGGTACAACACCAGGAAGAAAAATGACTGCTACAAACAACAGAACGTTCGAACGGCTCGACGAAATCGGCTATTTTCACTTGAACAAATTTCACAAACTGTCGCTTCAAATTTGCGTCATTTGGAAATATTTGCATTGTATGCCCAGTTTGAAAGTTTTTTGGGTTTACATGCCCTTTAATTACTAAGTTAGAAAATAAAGTGTCACGCGATACGCTTACAAGATTATCACAAGTTTCTTATCACCCGCAGTCTTCTCGTCCAATCAGAGAATAGCGAGGAAGAGTTGAAAGTGACGGGTGTTGGTTTAGAGAATTCACATCGTTGTCGGACAGTTCAAACGGACACTAAATTTTAGAGAAGTCAATTTGCTCCGCGGTCTAGGTATTTTTACGGACAGAAAACACTTTAGGAATATGAATTCAGTTATTTTTTTCTCGTGATGATGTGATGGAATGGATGAAGAAAGAGGGATTTCAAGGATTTGTCGATGTCTTCTTTGGTAGGCCGATGTTCTAGTCACGTTTCATGAAGTTTTTACAGGCCAAGGCAACTCCTAACTGTTACCAGTAAGGACGTTTGATGTAGATGTACTCCAGATAACTTTTCACTTGTTTGAAGATAAGAATTCAAACGACTGTGCAATTACTCTAGGAACATTTGCTTGAAATGCACCGTGACACTTACGTATCTTCTCCACAAACCGAAAATACAGTTTTGGCGCCAAATGACAATCACCTTGATGGTTATGGATACTTTCTTTTCAAGTTCTTATCTTCTTTACTTGTTTTGCTTCTTTTTCTGTTTGGTTTTTACTTTTTCTTGAACATCAAGAGACGAGTTAGTTGATGGAGAAGCTTTATTCTGCATGAACGAAGACACAGTCTGAAAAGCCTCGTGCCCCCAGCGGCTGTCCGTGCTAAACTACTTGCCAAGATCGAAAAGCTCAAAGCGAGCAAGCAGTCGTCGTTTCCGTTGCCTGGAAAGACCATTGAGATTGCGGAGAATGAACCACTTGTGCACGGTACACCAACTTGCAGCAAAAACCTGGACGATTCAAACGATATAGCTCTGGCGAAGAAAGGTAACGATTTATAGTTGACTAAAAACTAACTAGAGTACAAACTGCCTGAGTCAACATGACCTTAACAGATACAGGACGCAATATTCCAATAAAGTACTGCTCTATATCTAAGGCATATTAGGTGACAAGACAAAGAGCACCGTTTGCGGTTCGTGTTTTCAATTTATATATTCGCGATTTAACTTGTTCCTCTAAAGGCAAGATTTGTGCAATATTTCGTAATAACGCTCATTGTGCTGACGTAGGAACCATTCTCAGGCATAGAGTTTTAAAAATTCCCTTAAAGTAGCACTCCGCTGCTCTAGGAACTATATCAATTAATCACTCCTTCATTATACAAATTTATTGACAGTTTTTCTATAGCCCGAGTGTCTACTTACTTTAGACTATTTTCACTGTAACTTCTGGTTAACTTTCACCGATTTCAAGTTTCCCTTCTATTTTTGGAGTATGATTGAACAGAATTTCTATGGTCACTGTTATCCCCAGCCATTCAGTCATGTTGTGGACTTCCATAGTTATGTAAAGCGGATTTTCCGCTTTTTACTAGCTCCAAAGTTGAGTTGATTAAATATTTAATACCGCTCATTACTTGGAACGTGAAGGGAACCAGCAGGGGATGACAGGTGGCTAACAAAAAAAAAACCAACAACAACAAAAACAGCAAAAACAATTTTTCTTCCATGTTTCTTTTGAAGTGGAACTGTTCAAGACAAAACTTGGATAAGATCCATGGAGGCAAAATGACGCCAGAGATTAGCTAGAAATAAGAGAAAACGGACAGAAAAAAGGAAACTGGAGAAAAATGCAGTTTAAGTGTTAAAACAAGAAAAATACAAAAGAAAGGCAGCAGAGGAGAAATTGCTTTACACCAAAAAAAAGGAGGATAAATTTTACCAAATGTGGCGCCGAGTAGAGCGAGAAAAAGAAAAATCACTTCAGTCCAAGATGTCTCTAGAAAAGGAATAAAGCGATAACCGTTCAAAGGGTGTTGTTCCCATTAAGACATTACTGGATATTCCCGGGGAAATTTTAAATTTGGATTGCATGATTCAAATGCTACCTTGGGAGAAGGAAAGTTTGGCCAAGTAACACTTGCCTCCTACAAAGGGTTACCTGTTGCTGAGAAGCAGTTCAATGCTGCTGTCTTACAAGCAGAAATAGAACATGAGGCAAACATTGTTTCTTCTTTCAAGCACTTAAATCTACTAGTTTTCTTTGGAGTTTCTTGTTCGGAAAAGCCTTATCTGCTTGTCTTACAATTCTATAGAGCGGCAGGCAAAGCATTCACTATAAAAGACTGCCTTCAGCCTTCCTTTTGACACTGCTTAACTATAGAATAAGTGACTGATACAGATTTGTTTCCTTATTTTATTCTGTAGAATGTTCCTGAAGCAAAAAAAGTGCCCGGGAAGGACAGGAATGCCTCCCTTCATCATATTTGAGGGGAAATTATGCTCCCCAGACATTATCTTTATCAGTGGGGAGCAGGAGCTCTTAATAAAGATAAATGGGGGGCACACAGAGGCGCCGATTACTTTATTATTGTTGTATTTATTGTGTTATGTGTAGTATCCAAAAGAATGTGTAAATGTGCATCTCTCCTTGCAGAGATACATTTTAAAAGTTTATGATAGCGCAAGACTGCCAAACAAATTATTGCAATTTCTGAACGAACAAAACTGCTAAGGCTTTATTTTTTATGTTTCGTTGGTGAGTTTGAGATTGAAAATAATAAAGGTGAGAACAAGAGAACCCCATCGCATTCAAATGTCTTCGTAGCTTTGGAGTTAATTTCACTATTAAGAGTGTTACTACAACACATAGAGTGTTGTTTTATAACACTAGTGGAAGTGCTGATTTACACCAATTGAGTGTAAAATTCATAACAGTGTAAAATCACCTCGTCTTGGTGTTGGCACAGCTGCAAGGCATTTTACACCAATTCAGTGTCAAGAAACACTCTTTTAGAGTTAAAGTACACTAAAACAGTGATAAGTCAGCACCATTGTGGTGTATAGTTACACTTCAGTTACATGACATGAAAACGAATTTACACCACGTTGGTGTAAAAGAACACCGTTTCAGCGTTGATGAAACACCAAAATGGTGCTCACACAGCTGCATAAATTTACACTTTTTTGGTGTCACCATAACACCTTGACTTTTTGTGTGTGTTTTCACGCACCACTATTGTATTTTTTTTAAATTACCTTTTATACAACACTAACGTTGCTAGATATCGACGAATGCAGCAAAGGAAGCCATGATTGTGACGTAAATGCGAATTGTGCAAACACTAATGGCTCCCATAGCTGCACCTGTAAGGAAGGATACACTGGAAAAGGAGAGTCATGCCGAGGTAAAATTAGATTATGATTTTCACGCCCCGACCTTGTATTTCTATTAAGTTACAAGTTTCATCATATGTATACATTTACATTTTTCGATGCTTTAGAATATAATACGCGCGGATATGCAGTCTTGCCAATTTAGAGTAGAACAGCGGTACTTGATGTTGAGCAAAGCAGCTTTCTATGACAAGTATCGTCTTTGTAACTGAGGTTATGATCATGAGGCGGCGTGATGATTTTCACGCCCCGACCTCGTATTTCAATTAAGTTACGGGTTTTATCATATGCGTGCATTAACATTTTTCGAAATTCTAAAATATAAAACGCGCGGATATTTTACCAGCTAGATGTTAAACATGTATCTTGCGGGGTTTATTCCCTCTTTTCGACTTAGAGACAGGGAAGATAATGAACCCTCGGGCTTAACATGCCTTGTTTCAAGTATTGAGAGGTATTTTGTTATTTTTTGCCAGCTGTCACTATGTTGCAATATTTCTATCGAGAAGGGAAATTGATATGGCTTTTATCTTTCATGATCGATTTATAAACCATTGTCTGTTTGACAATTAAATTTTATAAAAGAGGAATTTACTCTCCTTACGTACATGTATACTATGTAATAAACCAATACATCACGTGTAGTCAGTCCGTACGGTATATAAACAATCGTTGCTTTATATCAAAAATCTTACTCGTTTGCTGCGTTCACTCCCTCGACTTCCGATACTACGATCTCGCGCGTGAATACCATAAAGACAGACTTTGCACGAATAATTCTATATCTATATCATTTTTACTACCAGATATCGACGAGTGCCTCAATAGAATCCATGCTTGTGACGTGAGTGCGAATTGTACCAACATTGACGGCTCCCACAAATGCACCTGTAAGGTAGGATACACTGGGGACGGACACTCATGCCAAGGTATGATCATCACATCAGACTTAGCAAATAGGAGAATGAAGCTTCCCACAAATATAAAAAAAAACTCTTTCTTTCAAAACTCAGAAATTTGATGTTTGTCTCTGTCAAGTAACGTTTTGGCAATTTATTTTTGTCCTCAGATGTCAATGAGTGTAGCGATGGCAACCATGTTTGCGATGTCAATTCGAACTGTAACAACACAGATGGTTCTCACATTTGTACTTGCAAGGAAGGATACACTGGAGATGGACAGTCATGTCAAGGTGAATAAGAGTTGCCTACACTTATTAAAACAAGCAGCTTTGCACATAAACTATCGCCCATGGAAATTAGCCCATATTTTAGAGACCTGTTTTTACGCACCACTCTCGTACCTTTCTAATTTCCATTAGATTACTTTTTATACGTCACTTATGTAATAATAATGATAATGATAATAATTATTATAATAATAATAATAATTGCCTTGTTATGCGACAAACTGGCTAAGATTTTTTTTTGGCTAGTCAGTTATCCTTTGCAAATCTATTGTGTTCGCAGATATTGATGAATGCAATAGTCATGTTTGTGATGCTAATGTTAACTGTACCAACACAAAAGGTTCATATAATTGCATCTGCTAAGAAGGATACATTATAAATGGATAGTCTTGCCAACGTAGATTAGAAAAGCGATACTTCATGTCGAGCAAAGCAGCTTTTCATAATAAGTATTGTCTTCGTAACTGAGGTTAGGATCAAGAAGCAACGTAATGATTTTCACGCCCCTGCCTTGTATTTCTATTAAGTTACGGGTTTCATTATATGCATGCATTCACAGTTTTCGAAGATTTAAAATATAATACGCACGGATATTTTTCGAGTTGCTTGGAATTTTTCTGAGCGCGAAAGGAACGAGGATAATTAAGAGCAATAAACAAGATTTCTTCTCGTATTGTATAATAAACCATCGAATATGGGATTTATCATTTAATCATTACCTGGAATATTTTTCTCGAATATGCGGCCACACTCGGATAACCCCCGCACCCCACCCTTCTCTCTCTCACTTTTTTAAATAGTATAGATAAAAGGAAAATCTGTTTCTACTGCCACACTTTTTTTTTATAACTTTTCAACGTTCGACAACAGCGCAATTAGTAGAGCAGAATAATTTTTCAATTTCAGATTTTTTTAAATCTTCATGTGCTTGCAGAGTTCCTTTATGTATTATCTTTTATTTTGATTTTGATGTCCCATTGCTGAGGTAACTTAAGAGGTGCCCCATTCGACTGATCGCCAAAGCGCCCATCCTACAAATAAGTGCCTCCCCTCCCCCTCCCCCTCCCAGTTTTTGCCGAAATTTTCGATAAGCGCTCAAGTGCTAACTGAAAATGTCTAATATTTCAATTATTGCAGTACAAACAATATCGCCTGAGGAACTAAACATATATGTTGCGGAGTATATTCACTCTTTTCAACTTAAAGACAGAGAAGATTAGGAACCCTCAGGCTTAACATGCCTCGTTATCGAAAAAGGAAATTTATATGGTTTTTATCTTTCATGATCGATTTGTAAACCATTGTCTGTGTGACAATTAATTGTTATTAAAGAAGAATTTACTCTTCTTATGTAAATGTAAACTATATAATAAACCTAATACATCACGTAAAGTCTGTCCTTAAGATATGTAAAGACTCATTGCTTTATATCAAAAATTTTTCTCGTTTGCTGCGTTCACTCCCACTGTTGTGGTTCTTTTTTAAAAGAACAGGAGGCGTAGATTGTAAGACACACACACGTTTTATTCCGGAGCAAGAAGAACACTACAATAAATCACACGTAAATAATGATCAATGCCTATATTTTATATGGGGTGACCTAGGTACTAATATGATGACCGCTGGCCGGAAACGGAGGCCAGCCAATATTATGACACTCTTGATTTCGGATACTACAAGCTCGTGCGTAAATACCATACAGACAGACTTTGCACGAAGTATTCTATATCTGTATCATTTGTACTACCAGATATCGATGAGTGTCTCAGTGGCAGCCATGCTTGTGACGTGACTGCAAATTGTACCAACACTGACGGCTCTCACAACTGCACTTGTAAGGAAGGATACGCTGGGGACGGACAGTCATGCCAAGGTATAATCACTGCATTAGACTCAGCAAATAGAAAAAAAAACTATTTCCTCAAAAATTTAGAAATCTGATGTTTGTTTCTGTCGAGCAACGTTTTGGCAATTCATTTTTGTTCTCAGATATCAATGAGTGTAGCGATGGCAACCATGTTTGCGATGTTAATTCAAACTGTAACAACACAAATGGTTCTCATATTTGTACATGCAAGGAAGGATACACTGGAGATGGACAGTTATGTCAAGGTGAATAAGAGTAGCCTACACTATTTAAAACAAGTAGCTTTGCACATAAGCTTTCGCCAACAGAGATTAGTCCTGATTTTTGAGGCCTATTTCCACTCACCACTCTCGTACACTCTATTGCATTACCTTTAATACATCACTTATGCTTCTAGATATCGACGAATGCAGCAAAGGAAGCCAATGTTTGTGACGTTAATGCGAATTGCACCAACACTGACGGCTCCCATAGCTGCACCTGTAAGGAAGGATACACTGGAAAAGGAGAGTCGTGCCAAGGTAAAATTAGATTAGACTTACAAAAAAGGGAAATAACTGTTCACCACAAATAATTGCCTCGTTATCCAACAAACTGCTTAAGATTTTTTTCTCTCAATTCAGTTACCCTTTGCAAATCTATTGTGTTCACAAATATTGATGATTGTAACGATGATGTTTGTGATGCTAATGCTAACTGCACCAACACTAATGGTTCTCATAATTGCATCTGTAAGGAAGGATACATTGAAGATGGACAGTCTTGTCAATGTAGATTAGAACAGCGATACTTCATGCCGAGCAAAGCAGCTTTCCATATTAAGTATTTTCTTCGTAACTGAGGTCATTATCAAGAGCCGGAAACGAAATGATTTTCAGGCCCCGACCATGTATTTCTATAAAGTTACGGGTTTCATCATAAGTATACATACACATTTTTCGACAATACGCGTAGATATTTTACGAGTTGCTAAGTATTTTTTCGAGTCCGGAAGGAACGACGATAAATAAGAGCAATAAACAAGATCTCTTCTCGTATTGTATAATAAAAAATCGAATGAGGGATTCATCATTCCCACATTACCTGGAATATTTTTCTCGAATATGACGCCACGCTCGGACGCTCGGATAGCCAACCCCCCGCCCCCCCCACCCATCTCCTCCCTTATTTTTTAATAGTATAGATACAAGGAAAATATGTTTCTACTGCCACGCATTTTAAAAACTTTTCAACCCTCAACAACAGCGCGATCAGTACAGCAGAGTAATTTTATTTTCCAAACCAGATTTTTTCTACTTTCATGTGCTTGCAGAGTTCCTTTATGTACTATCCATTCTTTTGACTTTTGCCCCATTGCTGAAGTAACTTAAGAAGCGCCCCTCTCGGCTAATCCCGGCTAATGTAATTTAACTTTGTAGGCAATCCGTGTTAAAATTACAAAAACCTGTGTAATGCCATTAGAAAGAGCAATTACTCAACACCGGTACGCGGACTAGCCTTTCTATCAGGGGTGGTGGGGGTGGTCAAGGCATTTTTCTTTGAATGGGAAAGTTTTGGAATTAATCATACATGTTACTCACCAGAGAACTCCTAAAACTTGCATTAGTCTTTAATTCTGAGAAATTCTTGAGGCTACGTCATTGTGAAAAGAACTGTGAACGTAGAAGTAGAGCGCGATACGTATTGAGATAGGGAAAAAAACAAAGAGAATATACTTTCATTCCTACAAACCTGTTTCGTGACCACTCATTCATCAGGGAGTGTTATATATATTTATATAATAAGCTCAGTTATGCACGCATTCTGATTGGTTCTCACTTATGATCTATTGGAGGACAGACGTATAGATGATGTCATCATTAAAACTTTTTCAGTGTGTCACATCAGTGACACTCAGCTGCGCCTCGTGTGCCACTTTTTTGTTCTTACCACATTTTGACGTCATCTGTGATCTATTACTGAACAGACGCACGGCAACTTGGAATCTATTTGTTAAATAAATATATATAATACATATATAAATTGAGTTAGGGGAAAAACAAAGAGACGAAGAGCCTGTTTTGTGATTACATCACTCTTATGTCGTGATTAAAACAACAATAAAATTTCCCTTTCACAATTATTATTCAACTTTTTAGCCGATCCATGCTATAATTACCACAACCTAAGTGATGCCACAAGGAAAAGCAGTTACATTACACCGCTCTCTGGTCCAGTGTTTTGTGACTACCCACTCACCGAGAGATGGTACCGTTTTGTGGGAGCTGCCGGAACTAAAATGCCAACAACACGTGTACCAGCATACAAATGTGGTACAGACTGGTCAGGCTGGTTGGATGGTGCTCATCCTATGGTAGAAGATGGTGAAGTTTTCAGGAGGGTCTGCTTTAGCGATCGCCCTACAGGTTGCAAATACTCAATCGAAATTTCAGTTACAAATTGTGGATCATTTTATATCTACAAACTTGCTCAGCCCCCTTATTGTTCTTCGCGTTACTGCAGCACGGACTAAATCTGAGTCTAATAACTTCACAAAACGAGACAAGTCATAAAAAGATCCTTGTGAACAATGTATTTTACGACTTACAGTCCCCTCCCTATCGTAATCGTTAATACTATCGTTATAACCTGGTGCATACTGGCAAATTTTTACGTCGGTGGCGTTAACTATTAACTGTTATAAATATTAAGAGTTCTAATGATGGTGGGCATCAAATATCATTTACATCATTTAAGAAGACTTCTTGCCTGAAAAAATGATAAGCGAAAACTGTCAAATCCACCTAACTACAACTTTGTACATTATTTAATAGCGTTTAACATTTTTGACAAGTTTCTCTATTATTTCATCAAGAGCTTTATCACCATTGGATGAATTTTCCTATTGCAGTAATAGGATAAACAAAGAACACTTGCCCGAAAAAAAATCAAGCATAAAAAAAATAACAGTTAGTTTGTAGACAAATTGGATCTTTCGATATCTACAAACTTGCTAAGTCATACGCATGTAATTTGCGTTTCTGTGCCTCGAAATAAACTGACTAAATAATTCGCCTTAGTGTTATAACATTAGTTACGTGAACCTCTTGCTAACAAATTAAGTATTAAAAAAAAAAGATAGAGACAGACATGCATGTGGAATAGTCATTTCGAATGCCTCAGTCCAGTAGCTTTAGAGATAAAAGCTGAATAAGGAAATCCAGAATGCCTTTGGTTATCGCCAAGTACTTATATTTTCTTGAAAAAAATATTGATTGAAGTCTGTGACTCTGTGTTACCTCGAAAAAATTGAGATTTAAGGACACGTGATAAAAAGCTGAGTAGTATATTCCATTTATCATTCACAGCACCATCACTATTTGTGGGGTTCAAAAATGTTTCGGCTTTATAACAAAATATTCCGTGATAAAAGCCATGTGTCAAAGGTGGCCTGCCATCCGAAGTCAATTTGCTATGTAATCGCGGTTATACTGTGACTGCTATGAATTTGAAGCAAAAGTTTAAGTTAAAACCATTGAAGATAAATTCATTTTCATCCTTGCAGTTGGCTTTTACGTCCGATTTCGAGGAAGGTTTGCTCAAATCTGGTGCTCAGATCCTTTTAAACCCATGGTCATCAGCGGATTACGCCGTAATTTCGGTCTCAGACTCCCGTTCCTCGTTCACCGTTTCCCGTTCTCCGTTCCTCATTCTTCGTTCCTCGTTCTCTGTTCATAATTTTCCGTTTCTTGTTCTCCGTTCCCCGTTCCTCGTTCCTCGTTCTCCGTTCTACGTTCTCCGTTCCCCGTTCTCCGTTCCTCGTTCTCCGTTCCCCGCTCTAAGTTTACCGTTCCCTGTTCCTCGTTCCTCGATCATCGTTGCCCGTTCTTCGTTCCTCGTCGGAGTAACATCCTACTACTGCTGTGGCGCAATAGTGGTCAGTTCAAACAGCGATTACTGAAACATCTTAGTACCATTGGCGCTTTTTTAATGCTCAGATTTAACTTGAATCGAAAAAAGTCTTAGACTGGTTTACACCCGGTGGAGTTTACTAACGGGCTGGTGCGAATCCTGTCAGCTATTTGGGTGCAACAGAAGGAAAAAAAGATCAAATTTCGTAGCTTAGAACCCCTTCCGAATCATGAACCTGATGAAAAATTTCAAGAGAGTCAGCCAGTCAGCCGTGTGTTCTTGAATTGGTTGATCATGAAAAAAGGAATTTTTTTTTCGTAAGTTCTGTTTTTTTTTTCTTTCGTTATGTGAAATTTTAGTCGATTTTTAGCTTACCAGTCGATTCTTACCAGCTCGGAACTTTCGCACTCAGGATAATTTATTATTATCTACTGAGTTGGTATCGTAAATTGGTTCCCATGAAGAGTTTAAAAGCGTTTCGAGCGTTAGCCCTTCGTCCAATCGCTCTGACGAAGGGCTTACTCTCGAAACGTGAGCTTTTAAATTCTTTGCGGTGGCCAATTTACGATATCAACTTAGTTGATAATACTTGATTACCCTGTTATACTCCCAATCGACGCAGCACCTCAGTTTCTTTAGAAACTTAACACCTATATCCTTTCGTACTCAGTCAGTTTAATCGCTTAAAGTCCAAACAAATAAAGTTTTTTTACAACACTTTGACCCATAATTTCTCGTTACAATATCACCCCTGAATCAAACATGAATGTCAGAAAGAAAATGATCGCCTACAAAAGAAACTCTTGAATGTTAAGCGAATTCTCCAAGTCAACTCTGTAGGTAATATATATCTAATGGTATGGAAAATATGTATACTGATGTTAGGGTGCAAAGAATTTATGTCAAATGTATATTTATCTATACTTATGACATCAGAAGAGCTTAGAAGAGCATACGAAAAAAAGGGGGGAATTAAATCTTAGGAATAGGGTTCTGCCCTCACCAAAAAAGTGCAAGAAGACGGTAGATACATAATGAAAATAACAGCTTCATGGTAGATATCGAGTTTGGAATACGTATTCTAGTTATGAGCTACTTTTTACCATGTTTTCTTAAAGTTTACCGAGCCACCAGCGACTTGGCCTTCAAACAATGACACAGAAATGAAGCGGAAGCAATCATTAAAGGATGCAAGTTGTCTAACTACCTCATCGCGGTACAAGTGAGGGTTGATTGCCCGCCCCTTCTCCGCACTCCTTAATTTTTTTTTTTAAGGACAATAAAGCACTCCTTACGATCGAGCCACCAGGAACTTGAATCTCAAAAGAAAAAAGAAAAAAGAGATCAAAGGATTAAACGAAAAAGAAAAAGTAGCCAAAAGCAAACATTTAGGCGTTTAAACTGACTAACTACCCCTTTACCCACCCCTTTCCTTGGTTTTGGTTTTTCTTGCTCTTTTGAAAAGTTTGGATGGGCAGTTACGAAAACAAATACCAGACTTTGACACCAACACGCGAAAAGGCTTTTTTTGCATTTTAAGCCTAGATTGCTTAACGCTAAAGAATTGCGACGTTGATGAGCGAGTATTATGTGTATGGATGTTCTCAAGGTTTCGTGATGTTAGAAGGTGCACTGTCGTTATGAACATCAAACATTAATTTACATACCGCTTCATTATATAAGAAGGTAATAGGCAGAATTTTCGCATTTACAAATAAGGGGATTGCATGTTCTTTTCTATCAACAAAGTAGATTAGATGTAATACTCGCTTTTGGAAAACAACAATTTTGTTTAGATAGTTTTTTAACGCATTACCCGAGGCAACGAGTCCATAAGTTAAATAAGGTAAAATTAAGGATTTATAAATATTTGTGAGTACAGATGATGGAACAAAGTGTCTCAGCTTAGCAATCATTCCTATGGTCTTACTTTAGTGATAACACAGTCCAAGTGGTTTTTCCAAGAAAGATTTTCATCGATCAAAAAACCTAAATACTTGATATAACTCTTATGTTCCAAGCTGACTCTTCTATTTTTTTCACTATCAAATATACTTATTCGAGGAAGATAACGGATTTTATTTTGTTTAGGGCGAAAAATTACAAGATTTGATTTTTTTGTATTCAAAGTCAATTTATTTGTAGTTAGCCAGTCATGTAAATTTTTCAGTTCAGCATTGACCGTCTGTTCTAAAGACTTGAGGTCCTTGTCAGCATAGAGAATATTAGTGTCATCCGCAAATAAGAAAATGTGAAGTTTACTGGAACAGAGGTGAATGTCATTTATATAAAGTAAAAAGAGAACCGAACTCTGAGGGGCACCACAGGGAGAAATTAGTTTAGTTGATACGTGCGATCCAATTTAAGTTGTTTGCGTTCGATTTGTTAATTACGACTGGAACCACTCGTTGATAATCTCTCGAAAACCATAAAAATTAAGTTATCAAGTAGTATTTTGTGGTTGACGGTGTCAAAAGCCTTTTTTAGGTCAATGAAAACACCACACGAGAAATGATGCTTATCCATATTGTTCTGTAAAGTTTCGACAATTTCAAGGATCGTATGATCTGGGGAGTGTGCCTTACAGAAGCCATATTGTGAGGAATGTATTAACTTATTTTTGTCAATAAAGTCCTTCATTCTGTAATACAGTAGCTTTTCAAATACTCTGTTAAAACTTGACAAGAGAGAAATTGGTCGGTAATTAGAAGCATCAGTCTCGTCTTCACTTTTAAAGATAGGTGTGATTTTGGAGATCTTAAGTTTTGATGGGTGAACACCGGACGTAATAGAAGTATTGAAGATGTTCGAAAGGACAGGAGATAAAATATTGCACGAACGTAGGACAAGAGTATAAACCATACGATTTTTTGTTTGGTAGTGATATAATTTCTTGTTTAACGTCATCTGGGGAAATCGGTTTGGAAAAAAAGGAAGAATCAGGTTATTTTAATTTCTTGAGATAATCCATATGATTATGGTTTGGTTTCAGGTTGATGAATGAACGGCGAAGCCTTCACCAATCTCAATCCAAGGTCATTTGTTGGAATTTTTTCGGATTATGGCTGCTAAAACATTAGAAAAATCCATATCGCTTACAGACAGTGACATTCAAACTTACCTGGAAGGAAAAGAAAACCAAAATACTGAAAGAAAAACCGAAAGTTACGTATTCAGTAGCTTTGGTAATGGTATTTCGACAACTGAAATATTTGCCACAGGCCGACTTATATTGCATTGTTTTGTAACCTCCTCCTTCTTGAAACTCTCTCCATTTCCCATGCCCCTAACCAGTTGATAACTCGCGCTGGGTTGATGCGAAAGTTATTCCTGTTATCGCTTTCTTTCTTTTCACTTTCTTTTAACGAGGGCGGCTTCTAGAGTCCTGCAGTTAGTCGCTACTTGGATATACGTAATGGGGAGTGATAAGCCCGCAACAAAGTGCAGAGTTTTGTCAACGTTTCGAGGTTTTGAAGATTTAAGATATGGGCACTAAAAGAAAGAAAGGAAGAAAGAAAGAGGAAAGAGGAAAATGAAAGAAAGCGAGAAAAAAAAAAGGGATAGGCAAGGAAAACTGCTACCCAGTTATTTTCTTTGGACTAGGGAAAAGAAACCAAGCTCTTAACGAACTAGAAAATACCTAAAAGCAAGATGTGGCTAGCTACATCATTAATAGTTACGAAACTGAAACTCGAAACTGATAGCCACGCCGACGAACAGACTTGTAGAATTACGAAAGATTCTGTGTTTACCATTTATGATCATAAGCTAAAACTTCGAATGAAGGGTATCGTCTAATGATTTTTTCACGTCAATAACTTTGTTTTTCAGCATCTTAAGAGTGAAGTAAATCCTGCATCCATGCCTAGAGATCTCATCTGAGATGGCGTCGTGAGAAAACGAGACTCTTTGGATCATATCCATCCAAAACCTGCAAATCTTGGGGAACAACTCCCCATTACGGGAATCAAAGATCTATTGACAGCTGCCAATCGTCTCCCAGATCCCACCGAAGAGTTATGGTCATTTTGGTTGTTATTACAGTGGCAATTCCGCAATCATCGCGGCAGTGTACATTGGAAAATACGTTTCGGAATACCTTATAACAGGAAAGGTAAGTATTGATGTCCCTCAATTTTTGCTATTTATTTAGAAGTCAACCATAAAAAAAAACAACATATTTGAACAAAAGATAAAAGTGGGTCGAAATTCCAGCACATCGATGTGCCATTGTCGATGTCCTAGTAGTAGAAATTAATCATCTCATTTTCACATAAAGCTTAGAGCTGGCGCAGATATTAATCAATCGATATATGGACAAGAAAGTAAGTATTCAGTTTGATCATGTTAATGGTAAGCCATTAAAGAAGGAAACACGTAGGAGCACTTTCGTCCGCGCCGTCCAAACCCTGCCAGATTAATTTTTCAAATTCGACATCAAAGCTTCGTAAATTTAAAAAAGAAACCAATTTCTACAAAGTAAAAAGTTAAAGCTGGCGTTTTTGTCCTCTCATCGATGTTAGAGTAAGAGCGTTAAGTTTAAAATATGCTTTGAAAAACAAAGAGGCAAGCAATGCGTTGACAGAACATGTACGAGCACATAAGTGGCTACCGTGACCGTAGCCTTTTTAAGAGACTTAAAAGCATTCTAGCGCAAAATTTCAATTGTGTGGTGTTATCTACCTGTTTGAATTACCCAGTGGGTAACCAAGCGTGCGTTTCTTACAACGGCTCCTAAATACAACCAAAAGTTACAAAGTGGTCAATAATGAGCTGATAACTATTGTTCCAGTTATTGTCCTGATTCATAGTTTCATCAGTTAACTTTAGAGTAGAAATAAATTAGTTCTTTTATGGAGCCTGGGAAAATATCAACATCATTCCACGCATTTTGAAAGGAATCATGCACAGGTTAATTTTGGGATCATTTGCGATCCGGACTAACTTTTTACTAAAGCGTTTTTAAAACTTTTTTAAAAATAATAAACAGCACGGCACGAAATGAAATACTAAAAACTTTCTTCACTTTCCTACGCGCTTCATATGACAGCAGCAGGAGTTTATACAAGTAGGCAAATAAGCTTGCTTAGATATGCATGGTAGATACAATGTCTATTTTCGACCTGTACGCAAAATGTGAAGAAACCGGAAAGGTATCTACGAGGTGTGACAAAAGTTTTGTACATGGGTGACATTTTTGAGACGTTATATGTGAGAGTATGTGTTGTGTATGGTGGTCACAGATTAAGAACTAAATCTACGAGCTGAGTTCTAATAAGTTTTTTACACGAATTTCGGTTCTTCAGTCCATGTTGAAGGCAGAAATATGGGAGCTCATTTAGTATCCATCTTAATATTTCGTCAGTCTTTCTATTCCTCACTTACGTTCTAATTCGCTTCGCTCAAACGAACGTAAATTATTTTACCCTTAAATTCCCGTAATAAATAAATCAGACAAGCAGTATGGTAGGATGCGTAAGCGGATCCAAAACACAGTTTATTACATCTAGATTAAATCATAATACAAAAATTATTAAGGAACGTGTGAAATATAAATGCTCAATGATATTACAAGCGTAAATAGTTGGTTACTTGTAATCTATTCTCAAGGCTCTCTTCAATGTACATGTCCTTGGCAGAGTCAGACTTCCATCTATCATGTATTTTAAGTAGTCTTTCTGAAATCGAATGACCACTATTACGCACTACAGATGTAATGCCACCGGATCTTAAGCTATGAAGACCGAAACTATTAGGATTATAACCTGGCTTACTCAGGCAATCTCTAAGAATTTCCTTGCATCTAGTATAAGAAATCTTACCACTTATCAGGGTATAGCTAGAATTACTAGGGTGAAAAGTTAGAGGTCTAAATAAAGGAAGATTACTATTGCTGTCGATCCCAGAAAGGTTGAAATACCTTCTTAAGACACCGACAGGACAGTACTTAGATGTGGAAGCGCTAATATAAACATAATTCCCTTCCCTATAAATATCGGTTTTGCTTCGAGGCAAGAAAATCCTTATATAATCATTATGAAACTCAATATGCTTCGGAACGATATTACATAAATCGTCATACCGAAGAAAACCTGCGAAAGCTAATGAGCATAATGCGGCAATACGAAGATCCTTCAGATTAGAATCTTCCTTGTTATGAACGTCCAATATGTTCCTAATGATTTCTGTGGTAATGGGACTCAGAAACTCAGAAATTTGATGTTTGTCTCTCTGTCAAGTAACGTTTTGGCACGGTTAAAGTTAAAATTAATGTCTACGCCCTTGTGTTGTTCCTCTGTTAAGCTACCTTTTTCTACATTATTTTTGTCCCCAGGTATCGACGAGTGCAGCACTGGAAGCTATGTATGTGACATAAATGCGAACTGTACTAACACTGACGGCTTCCATAACTGCACCTGTAGACGGACAATTATGCCAAGGTATAATTTTTGCATTAGACTGAGCAAATATCAGAATAAAGCCTCGCGCAAATGAAAAGAAAAAACCTCTTTCCTCAAAAACTTAGAAATATAATGCTTGTTTCTCTGTCAAGTAACCTTTTGGCAATTAATTTTTTTCACAGATGTCATTGAGTGTAGCGATGGCAACCATGTTTGCCATGTTAATTCCAACTGTAAGAACACAAATGGTTCTCATATTTGTACTTGCAAAGAAGGATACACTGGAGATGGGCAGTCATGTCAAGGTGAATAAGAGTAGCCTTCACTATTTAAAACAAGCACCTTTGCACATGAACTATTGCCCATAGAAATTAGCTCACATTTTAGAGACCTGTTTTCATGCAACAATGTTGTATTTCTATAACATTACCTTTTATACATCACTTTTGCTTCTAGATATCGATGAATGCAGCAATGGAAGCCATGATTGTGACGTAAATACGAATTGTACAAACACTAATGGCTCCCATAGCTGCACTTGTAACGAAGGATACACTGGAAAACTACTCATGCCAAGGTAAAATTAGAAATATGCAATGTGATTTACAACTTCAGACATTTCAAGTGGAGTGATATCCAAAAATTAACAACATTTACGCGGAGAATCGTTATTCTCATGGCCATATCCAGTCCTGCGAATGCGATACATTCAGTGGCTATGTATGCCAAATGTATTGAAACTAATTTGATTTATTATGACGTTTTGAATCTTACCTCGTGGTCCTTGAGTAAAAGGTCCACTAAATTTCGTTGGTCCAATCGATGGAAAATCCATTTTGACTTATATCGATTATTATTCATCCTATCCGGAAGGTACGTGTTTTTCCGTACTATGCGCGAAGCAACGAAAAATTAAAGGAGAACTTTCGAGCAGCCATCAGCGAAGGTAAATCCTGGCAAATGGAGTCGCCTAAAAATTCATGCGCTACAGAGCAAATCGGCCTCATACTAGTGGAAGACCACCTACTATGCTTTTGTTCAATCGCGAACTTCGAACAAAAAAGCATCATCGGCACTCTATCGCGAACATTGGTCAAAATCCAATTTGTAGCAAACGCGTTCGAAGGCATATCACGATAGCAGGAAACATGCTGAACCGCATTATTTCAAAATTGGCGATCTCGTACTTTGTGCCAACAAGAAACCAGACAAACTAGATTTGAATTTCTCTACGGCAGAGCTCGTAATTATTGAGACCAAAGCAAGAGACACTTTTAGTTTAGTCAATTTGGACACGGGTACCACTTTGTCAGCATATTGGTAACGACATTGATGTAGACATTAGTGCTAAGACTGAGGAGTCTATTGACCATTCAGTGAAAAGAAATGACCCTATCAAAAGTACCAAGCCCTCTAGTAAGGATCCGGAATATTTCTCGGATTAGAAAGTTTTTGTCAGTTAGTAGTACTAGGGCGTTAGTACACGCCTTCGTCACATGCAGATTAGACAACTGTAACTCTCTGTTATATGGTCTTCCGAAACATTTAGTTCATAGATTGCAATTAGCCCAGAATTGTGCGGCACGGCTGATCTTATGTGGTCGTAAGCATGATCACGTTACTCCTTTACTGAGGGAATTGTACTGGCTTCCCGTGGAGCAGAGGATTATTTTTAAAATGTTATTTTTTACATTTAAAGCTTTAAATAATTTATGCCCAAGTTATATCAGTGACTTGTTAGAAAGTTATAAGCCTACTAGGTCTTTACGATCATCGAGTAGGAACTTGTTAGTGATTCCTCGCTCCAAGTTGAAATCTTATGGCGATCGCGCCTTTTCTGTCTCTGCACCTAAGTGTGGAATGACATTCCTGAAACCATAAAATGTAGTGTAGATCTTAACGCTTTTAAGCGTAATCTTAAAACTTATCTTTTTAAGGGTTATTTTATGAATGGTTACGTTTGATTATTATTTTTATTTTTTACGTCAACCACTATTCGTCAAAGTTTAAAAATTTCTAGTCGAAGTTCCTTTCGAAAATGGCACGTTTCGAGTTCGACACCATTGTTTTCAGCCCACGCTTGAATAACAATGGCTGTTAAAACTAAACAATAGCCTATTGAGAAAATTGAGAGGTTTTACGTAAATTTTTTACTTCTTAACATAATGTAATTTTTTTCGAGGCTTGTTGTAATTTAACAGCGACTGTATTGTGGTTTTTAAATGATGAACACCAAAAAGCCCTACTGGGGAGTGTTGATAAATTTTATATTGTATTGTATTGTAATTTAAAAATTGACAGTTTTTACCAGTAGATTCTTCTGCACTCCTCCTTCTTCTTGAGACTCTCTCCATTCCTATGCCCTCAGCCAGTTGATGACTCGCGCTGGGTTGGCGCGAAAATTATTCCTGCTGTCGTTTTCTTTTAATGACGGCGGCTTTTAGAGTCCTGCAGTTAGTCGCTACTTACACATACATAACGGGGGGTGATAAGCTCGCAATAGAGTGCAGAGTTTTGTTTTCGAGGTTTTGAAGATTTAGGAAGTGTGTAATTAACTTTAGTAAAAAGGAAAAAAGGAAGCAAAGAAGAAAGAGAGAGGGAAGAGGAAAATGAAAGAAAGTGAGAAAAAATAGAGAAAGGCAAGAAAAAAACTGCTCATCAGTTATTTTCTTTGGACTAGGAAAAGAAACCGAGTTCCTAACGTACCGGAAAATACCTAAAAGTGAAATGTGGCTCGAACAATCGACATTCAAGGTCACATTTATGCATAAAAATCACGCATGACTGCATCATTAACAGTTACGAAACTGAAACTCGAAACTGAAAGCCACGCCGACGAACAGACTTTTAGAATCACGAGAGATGCTGGGTTTACCTTTTTTGGTCATAAGCTAAAACTTGGAGTGTAGGGAATCATCTGCCTGATGATTTTTTTCACGCAAGCAACTTTGTTTCTCAGCAACTTAAGAGTAAACTAAATCCTGCATCCACGCCTAGAGATCTCATCTAAGATGACGTCGTCAGAAAACGAGACTATCTCTTTGGATCATTTCCATCCAAAACCTGGAAATCTTGGAGAACAACTCTCCATTACGGGAAGCAGAGATCTATTGACAGATGCCAATCGTTCCTCTAGATCCTGCCGAAGAGTTATGGTCATTCTTGTTGCTATTGCAGTGGCAATTTCTACAATCATCGCGGCAGTGTTCATTGGAAAATACGTTTCGGAATACCTTAGTGATGATAACAGGAAAGGTAAGTATCAGATGTCACTCAATTTTCGCTATTTATCCAGAATTCAACGATAAGAAACAACATATTTGAACAAAAGAGAGAATTTGGTCGAAATTTCAGCACATCGATGTGTCATTGTCGATGTCCTCAGTAGTAGAAAGTAATCATGTCATTTTCACGTAAAGCTAAAAGCTAGCGGACAAAATTAATCAATAGATATATGGACAAGACGATAAAGTAAGTATTCAGTTTGATCATGTAAATGGTAAGCATTAGAGAAGGAAACATGTTAGGGTAAGAGCGATAAGTTTTAAATATGCTTTGAAAATCAAAGAAGCAAGCGATCCGTTGACAGAACATGCACGAGCACATAAGTAGCTGTGAGGCTACTTAAGAGCATTCCAGACTTAAGACTTAAGACTTAAGAGCATTCCAGCAGAAAATTTCAATTGTATAACGTTATCTGCCTGTTTGAATTACTCAGTGGGTACCCAAGCGTGCGTTTCTTACAACAGTGATGTAGGCTCCTGAATACAACCAAGAGATACAAAATGGCCTATAATGAGCAGATGACCATTGTTCCAGTCTTAACACATAGTTTCATCAGTTAGCTTTAGATTAGTAATAAATTAGTCCTTTTATGGAGCCTGGGAAAAAATCTACAACATTCCACGTATTTTTAAAGGGATCGTGTACAGTTCAATTTTGGATCATTTGCGATCCGCATTAACTTTACTAAAACTGTTTTATAACTTTTTCTTAAAATAATAAACAGCACTGCACGAAATGAAATACTGAAAACTTGTTTCATGCTCCTACGCGTCTTATCTGACAGCAGCAGGAGTTTATACAAGTAGGTAAATAAGCTTGCTCAGATACGCACGGTTAATAAGATGACTATTTTCGACTTTTAATCAAAGAGTGAAGCAAAAGTGTGACAAAAGTGTTGTACATGCGTGACATTTTTAAAACGTTACATATATGAGTACTTGTTTAATGATGGTGGTCACGGATTAAGAAATAAATCTACGAGCTGAGTTCTTGTAAGTTTTGCACACGTATTTCGGTTCTTGAGTCCATGCTGTTTTGATTTCACTTTAATGGAGTCTTCAATTGTAGAGTGTCACGATATCGAATGGCAAGTTCACTCGAATAATTTGCTTTTCCTTATGTAGGCCAGAAAAGAGATTTTGTTTTGATATTTTGTTTTCTTTAACTCTAAAGTTCTTCGGACAACAATCAGGCCAAAACGATGTCATACTTCCTCCCAGGGTTAAAGTTAAAATGAATGTTTTCATGCTCTTGTGTTGTTCCTCTATCAAGCTACCTTTTTCTACATTACTTTTGTCCCCAGGCATCGACGAGTGCAGCACTGGAAGCTATGTGTGTGACATAAATGCGAACTGTACTAACACTGACGACTCTTATATCTGCGCCTGTAAGGAAGGATACACTGGAGACGGGCATTCATGCCAAGGTATGATCATTGCAATTGACCAAGCAGATAGTAGAATAAAGTTTCCCTCAAACAAAAAAACTCTTTCCATTAAAACTTAGAAATTTGATGCTTTTCTCTCTGTCAAGTAACGTTTTGGCAATTCGTTTTTGTTTACAGATGTCAATGAGTGTAGCGATGGCAACTATGTTTGTCATGTTAATTCGAACTGTAAAAACACAAATGGTTCTCATATTTGTACCTGTAAAGAAGGATACGCTGGAGATGGACAGTCATGTCAAGGTGAATAAGAGTAGCCTACACTATTTAAAACAAGCAGTCTTGCTCATAAGCTATCGCCCATGAAAATTAGCCCACATTTTAGAGGCCTGTTTTTACGCACTACTATCGTATTTCTGTCAAATTACTTTTTATACATCACTAACGCTGCTAGATATCGACGAATGCGACAAAGGAAGCCATGATTGTGACTTAAATGCGAATTGTACCAACACTAATGGCTCTCATAGCTGCACCTGTAAGGAAGGATACACTGGAAAAGGAGAGTCATGCCAAGGTAAAAATTAGATTAGACTTTGAAAAAAAGCAGAATAACTGTTCATCACATATAATTGGCTTGCTATCTAACAAATTGGCTTAGATTTTTTGTTCTCTATTCAGTTACCCTTTGAAAATAGATTGTGTTCACTGATATTGATGAATGCAATGATGATAGGCATGTATATGATTCTAATGCTAACTGTACCAACACTAATGGTTCATATAATTGCATCTGTAAGGAAGCATACATTATAAATGAACAGTCTTGCCAATGTAGATAAGAACAGCGACACGTAATGTCGAGGAAAGCAGCTTTCCATAACAAGTATTGTTTTCGTAACTGAGGTTATGATCGAGAAGTAGTGTGGTGATTTTCACGCCCCGATCTCGTATTTCTACTAAGTTACGGGTTTCGTCATATGCATACATTCACATTTTTCGAAGGTTTAAAATATAATACACGGGGATATTTTACGAGTTGTTCGGTATATTTCCGAGCGCGGAAGGAAAGAAGATAATTAAGAGCAATGAGCGAAATTTCTTCTCGTGTTATATGATAAACCATCGAATAAGGGATTTATCATTTAACCATTACCTGGAATATTTTTCTCGAATATACGGCCACGCTGGGATAACCGCCCCCCCACCCCACCCTTCCCTCCTTCACTTTTTTAAATAGAGTAGATACAAGGAAAATCTATTTCTACTGCCACACTTTTTATGTAACTTTTCAACCTTCAACGACAGCGCAATCAGTACGGCAGAATAATTTTATTTTCCATTTCAGTTTTTCTATCTTCATATGCTTGCAGAGAATTTTTTATGTATCATCTATTATTTTGATTTTATGTCCTATTGCCAAAGTAATTTAAGAAGCGCCCCTCTCGACTAATCGACAAAGCGCCCCTCTCTACAAACAAGTGCCCCCCTCCCCTCTCATTTTTAGGGGAAATTTTTAATAAGCGCTCAAGTGCTCCTTGAAAATGTCTATTATTTCAATTATTGAAGTACACACAATATCGCCCGAGGAACTAAATATGTATCTTGCGGAGTTTATTCGCTCTTTTGGACTTAAAGACAGAGAGGATAATGAATCCTCAGGCTTAACATGCCTTGTTTCAAGTATTGAGAGGTATTTTGTTATTTTTTGCCAGCTGTCACTATGTTGCAATATTTCTATCGAGAAGGGAAATTGATATGGCTTTTATCTTTCATGATCGATTTATAAACCATTGTCTGTTTGACAATTAAATGTTATAAAAGAGGATTTACTCTCCTTATGTACATGTATACTATATAATAAACCAATACATCACGTGTAGTCGGTCCGCACGGTATATAAACAATCGTTGCTTTATATCAAAAATCTTACTCGTTTGCTGCGTTCACTCCCTCGACTTCCGATACTACGATCTCGCGCGTGAATACCATAAAGACAGACTTTGCACGAATTATTCTATATCTATATCATTTTTACTACCAGATATCGACGAGTGCCTCAATAGAATCCATGCTTGTGACGTGAGTGCGAATTGTACCAACATTGACGGCTCCCACAAATGCACCTGTAAGGAAGGATACACTGGGGACGGACACTCATGCCAAGGTATAATCATCACATTAGACTTAGCAAATAGGAGAATGAAGTTTCCCACAAATAAAAAAAAAACTATTTTTTTCAAAACTCAGAAATTTAATGTTTGTCTCTGTCAAGTAACGTTTTGGCAATTCATTTTTGTTCTCAGATGTCAATGAGTGTAGCGATGGCAACCATGTTTGCGATGTCAATTCGAGCTGTAACGACACAGATGGTTCTCACATTTGTACTTGCAATGAAGGATACACTGGAGATGGACAGTCATGCCAAGGTAAATAAGAGTTGCATACACTAATTAAAACAAGCAGCTTTGCACATAAACTATCGCCCATGGAAATTAGCCCACATTTTATAGACCTGTTTTTACGCACCACTCTCGTATTATCATTAGATTACTTCTTATACGTCACTTATGTAATAATAGTGACAATAATAATAATAATTATAATAATAATTATAATGATAATAATAATTGCCTCGTTATGCGACAAACTGGCTAATATTTTTTTTCGTTAGTCAGTGATCCTTTGCAAATCTATTGTGTTCGCAGATATTGATGAATGTAACGATGATAGTCATATTTGTGATGCTAATGTTAACTCTACCAACACAAATGGTTCATATATTTGCATCTGCTAGGAAGGATACATTATAAATGGACAGCCTTGCCAACGTAGATTAGAAAAGCAATACTTCATGTCGAGCAAAGAAGCTTTTCATAATAAGTATTGTCTTCGTAACTGAGGTTATGATCAAGAAGCAACGTAATGATTTCCATGCCCCTACCTCGTATTTCTATTAAGTTACAGGTTTCATTATATGCATGCATTCACAGTTTTCGAAGATTTAAAATATAATACGCGCAGATATTTTTCGAGTTTCTTGGTATTTTTCTGAGCGCGAAAGGAACGAGGATAATTAAGAGCAATGAACAAGATTTCTTCTCGTAGTATATGATAAACCATCGAATATAGGATTTATCATTTAATCATTACCTGGAATATTTTTCTCGAATATGCGGCCACGCTTGGATAACCCCCCCACCCCACCCTTCTCTCCCTCGCTTTTTTTTAAATAGTTTAGATACAAGGAAAATCTGTTTCTACTGCCACACTTTTTTTATAACTTTTCAACGTTCAACAACAGCGCAATCAGTACAGCAGAATAAATTTACTTTCAATTCCAGATTTTTTTAAATCCTCATTTGCTTGCAGAGTTCCTTTATGTATTATCTTTTATTCTGATTTTGATGTCCCATTGCTGAGGTAACTTAAGAAGCGCCCCATTCGACTGATCGCCAAAGCGCCCATCCTACAAATAAGTGCCCCCTCTCCCTCCCAGTTTTAGCCGAGATTTTCAATAAGCGCCCAAGCGCTCATTGAAAATGTCAAATATTTCAATTATTGAACTACAGGCAATATCGCCTGAGGAACATAACATGTATCTTGCGGAGTATATTCACTCTTTTCAACTTAAAGACAGAGAAGATTAGAAACCCTCAGGCGTAACATACCTTGTTATTGAAAAAGGAAATTTATATGGTTTTTATCTTTCATGATCGATTTGTACACCATTGTCTGTTTGACAATTAATTGTTATAAAAGAGGAATTTACTCTTCTTATGTACGTGTAAACTATATAATAAACCTAATACATCACGTAAAGTCTGTCCGTAAGGTATGTAAAGACTCGTTGCTTTATATCAAAAATCTTACTCGTTTGCTGCGTTCACTCCCACTGTTGTGGTTCTTTTTTAAAAGAACAGGAGGCGTAAATTGTAAGACACACACACGTTTTATTCCGAAGCAAGAAGAACACTAAACTAAATCACACGTAAATAATGATCAATGCCTATATTTTATATGCGGTGACTTAGGTACTAATATGATGACCGCTGGCCGGAAACGGAGGCCAGCCAATATTATGACACTCTCGATTTCGGATACTACGAGCTCGTGCGTAGATACCATACGGACAGACTTTGCATGAAGTATTCTATATCTATATCATTTGTACTACCAGATATCGATGAGTGCCTCAGTGGCAGCCATGCTTGTGACGTGACTGCAAATTGTACCAACACTGACGGCTCTCACAACTGCACTTGTAAGGAAGGATACACTGGGGACGGACAGTCATGCCAAGGTATAATCACTGCATTAGACTTAGCAAATAGAAAAAAAAAAAACTATTTCCTCAAAAACTTAGAAATCTGATGTTTGTTTCTGTCGAGCAACGTTTTAGCAATAATTTTTGATCTCAGATATCAATGAGTGTAGCGATGGCAACCATGTTTGCGACGTTAATTCAAACTGTAACAACACAGATGGTTCTCATATTTGTACATGCAAGGAAGGATACACTGGAGATGGACAGTTATGTCAAGGTGAATAAGAGTGGCCTACACTATTTAAAACAAGTAGCTTTGCACAGAAACAATTACCCATGGAAATTAGCCCTCATTTTAGAGACCTGTTGTCACGCACCACTCTCGTATTTCTATTACCATACTTTTTGTATATCACTTATGCTTCTAGATATCGACGAATGCAACAATGGAAGCCATGATTGTGACGTAAATGCGAATTGTACAAACACTAATGGTTCCCATAGCTGCACCTGTAAGGAAGGATACACTGGAAAAGGAGAGTCGTGCCAAGGTAAAATTAGATTATACTTTAAAAAAAAGCGGAATAACTGTTCATCACAGATAGTTGCCTTGTTATCCAACAAACTGGCTGAAGTTTTTTTCTCTATTCAGTTACCCATTGCGAATCTATTGTGTTCACAGATATTAATGAATGCAACGATGATGTTTGTGATGCTAATGCTAACTGTACCAACACTAATGGTTCTCATAATTGCATCTGTAAGGAAGGATATATTGGAGATGGACAGTCTTGCCAATGTATATTAGAACAGCAATACCTTATGTTGAGCAAAGCACCTTTCCATTACCAGTATTGTCTTCGTAACTAGGCTAATGATCAAGAGGCAGTGCAATGGTTTTCACGCCCCTACCTCGTATTTCTATTAAGTTACGGATATCATAATATGCATAGATACACAGTTTTCGCTGGTTTAAAGTATAATACGTGCGGATATTTTACGAGTTGCTTAGAGTGTTTCCGAGCCCAGAAGGAACGAGGATAAAAGAAGGCAATGAGCAAGATTTCTTCTCTTACCATTGAATAAGAGATACATCATTCCACTATTATTAGGATATTTTTCTCGAATATGCGGCCACGCTCGAATAACCACCCCCACCTTACCCTTCCCCTCCCTCACTTTTTTAAATAGTATAGATACAAGGAAAATATGTTTCTATTGCCACACTTTTTTATATAATTATTCAACCTTCAATAACAGCGAAATCTGTACAGCAAAATTATTTTATTTTCCATACGAAAATATTTTCCATGTTCATGTGGTTGCGGAGTTCCTTTATGTATTATCGATTATTTTGATTTTATGTCCTATTGCCGAGGTAACTTAAGAAGCGCCCCTCTCGACTAGTCGAAGACGCACCCCCCCTACAAATAGGTGCTCCCTCCTCTCCCCCCCTTAGCCCAAGCGCTCATTGAAAATGTCTAATATTTCAATTATTAAAGTACATACAACATCACCTGAGGAACTAAACATGTATCTTGCGGAGTTTATTCGCTCTTTTCGACTTAAAGACAGAGAATATTATGAACCTTTAGGCTTAATATGCCTTGTTTCAAGTTCTGAGAGGTATTTTGATATTTTTTGCAAGCTGTCAGTATGTTGCATTATTTCTATCGAGAAGGGAAATTTATATGGTTTATATCTTTCATGATCGATTTATAAATCATTGTCTTAAGTCTGTTTAACAGTTAATTGTCATTAGAGACGAATTATCCCTCCTTATATACATGTAAACTAGATAATAAACCTAACACTTCGTAAAAAGTCTGTCCATATGGTATGTAAACAATCGTTCATACATGAAAATATGCAGTGTGATTTACAACTGTAGACATGGCAGGTGGAGTGAAATCCAAAAACGAACAACATTTATCCGGCGAATCGTTATTCTTATGGCCAAATCCAGTCCTCTGAATGCGATACATCCAGTGGCTATGTATGTATTGACCTCCATGTTGTGAGTTGTGTCGATCAGTATTGAACTGAGACATGAGAAGCGGCTGTGTTCACAGTCTAGAAACTGCACTTATGTTAGTAAACTTGCACGTTACAAATCTTTCCCATCTCTATCAACTGAGGACGTTATCTTCTAGACATTGATGAGTGCAGTGAGGATTTTGTCGTCAAGATGAACGACTGCCATCTGAATGCCTCTTGCGTTAATATCCAGGGCTCATACAACTGCTCTTGCAATCCTACCTACATTGGGAATGGTTCTATATGTGAAGGTAAGTTTATTATTTTCAGTCTTCGTAACTTCATAATGTACGTCTAGTTAAATGTTACCAAGGAGCGCGCAGTATTATTAGTATTATTGTTATTACTATAACTATTATTATCATTATTATTACTATTTAACTTAAATTTCTACAATATTTTTCGTACACCTAGAAACTCAAGAAATGAACTTCTTATATTTTTCCTCCTTTTATTTATTTCTTTTTTATTTCCAATGTAATTTAATTAAGTTAAAGTAAAATTGACCCCCTCCCTGTTTAGCATCTGCTATCTTTGGGTCAAAGGAATGTGTTTTATATATATAAATATATATATATATATATATATATATAAATGTGGGGGTAGAGTCTACCTTAGCGTAAAGTGCTCAATGTTGCGGTAGCAGAGCTAAGTATACATAAGTTAAAGAATTAAAGAGGATGCATCGATTCTCTGTTACTCTGAGTTTCCGCCTAAGCGCTCGTCAGACAGAACTTTATTCGAATAAAGTTTTGTCTGACGAGCGCTTAGGCGGAAACTCAGATTAACAGAGAATCGATGCGTCCTCTTAATTCTTTAACTTACGTATAAATATATATATGATGATGATATAAATATATAAATGATGGTGAGGTGAAAGTGAGAAGTCCATAGCTTCAAGTGATTCCTTTGAGCTACGTCATGATAAAAAAGATGATAAGATTACCCTTTCACAATTATTATTGAACTTTTTAGCCGATCCATGTTATAATTACCGCAACCTAAGTGAAGCTAACAGACAAGTCAGTTACGTCACACCGCATTATTCAGAGTTATGTGACAACTCACTCCCTGAGGGATGGTATCGTTTTGTGGGAGCTGCAGGAACAAAAATGCCAACAACGCGTGTGCCAGCCTACAGATGTGGTACAGTCTGGTCAGGCTGGTTGGATGGTACTCATCCTACAGTGGAAGATGATGAAGTTTCAAGAAAGGTCTGCTTTAGCGATCGTAGCTCCGGTTGTAGACGTTCAAGCACAATTTTCGTTAAAAATTGTGGATCATTTTTTATTTACAAACTTGCTCAGCAGCCTTTTTGTTCTTCCCGCTACTGTGGCACGGACTAAATCCGAGTCTAATAACTTCACAAAATGAGATACGCCATAAAGAGATTCTTGTGAACAATGTACTTTACGACTTATCGTAGCCCACTCCTTATCGTAATTGTTAATACCATCGTTATATTAGCTGGTGCATATTGCCAATCTTTTTACGTCGGTGACGAACTGTTACATGTTATATATATTATAAGAGTTCTAATGATGCTGGGTATCAAATCTCATTTGATTGATAATTAATGAGAACTGTCAAAGGTCCAGGTAGTGTCTTTAATTAGAAAGTAAGTTTCTTGATCCCAGATACCGACGCTTCTGGTATAAGTTGTCATCCCATAAAACATCTGTTTAAAAGCTGGATTATTAGACAATTACTAAAGTATCTCGCCTCAATGTTACCTTAATACGTTTACTATCAATAAATTCATTATCATCTCTGGGTTATTAATTTATCTGAAGTCTAAAATTTTATTAAAGGTAACAGAAGTAATGGCTCCTTAGGTAATTAAAGTGGCTGGAAACTGTTTTCCGAAACACCCAAATGCTAAAGTTGTATTCAAAGAGCTTGAAACCAACATTCCTTCTTCATAGTCGAACCAGTATTACACATGTGTTGACCAAAGGACTGAAGTTCTAAATAGTGGACGTGGCATAGCAATCGATATTATTATACAAACGTCATAGAGAAATCCTGTTAAACAGTTTTTAGGGTCCGTCCAGGAAATTTCTCGATATATTTTACACAACTTCAGAGTTTTTCCTTCTGAGGAAAGGCCTCGCTGATTAGTGCCTTTTAATGAACTAGAATTTTTTCGACATTTACATTTACCCCTTCACTCTCATTGGTTTTCTCTTGCACCCTTGGTATGAGGTCGCCTCTTCTTGCTAACTGTCTTGTGACTCTTTTTGCGCCATTGCTTTTTCTATGATTTAGAGCTGAATACCTTCCGTGTGACTTGATACTTTCACGGAATGGGGTGGACAGGCGGAGAAGTGGGTGAAACTTCCGCAAGTTAAGTCATCTTTTAATAGTTGACAACGGAAGCGAGTTTATCCCCCCGGCCTTCCACTTCTCATCCCAGTTTCTGGACCCCAAGGGTGCTCTCTAGATAACGGAATGCTTTAAAAGTATGTTGCATTTGCATGAAAAAGGATGGCTACTGAAACGAAGTCAACGGCAATTCGGAAAAGTTTATTTGGATTTGGTGCACAGTTTTTGGATGCCGTTGAGCCCGTGCAACCATATTTCGGAGATAGGGTGGTTACCAAGCGCTGAACATTGCTCGAGCTACAATCTCAAGCCCAGGTTCATTTTAGCTCCTTGTCAGCGGCTAATTATGGCTTACAAATACAGGCGTTTGGTGTTAACTTGTTAAACTCCCTTATGAAGTCTACGACAGTTAGACGAAACGCGTTGGAGAATAAAGAAGTTTTACAGCTACTGTTCGCAGAGTGCTTCTCACTAGTTTAGTTTTAAAAATATAATTTAAAAACTTTTTAAAAAAATTTGACACCCCAATTTGTTTGCATAGACAGAGCAGAATATAAAAGTAGTACATTGTGTATATCGCTATTCTGAGTATTGATACATGAAGAGGCCATTAAGGTCAATTGAGTAAAATAAATTTTTAGTTGAAGGCTTTTGACCAATATTTAGATAAAATTGAAGATACTTAATATGGAAACTCCTATTAAATGGTTAATTAGTGAGTGAATCTACTGCTGTGACAAACATAATCAGTAGGTCATCCAAGGTGAGTGAAATTTGGGACAGCCTCGATCCCAGCGTGCTTTGCAAAATAAAAAAAAAATTGATTTGCTATGAAGATGCACCTTTAAATAAATATCAATGATATTTGAGAGATGTTATTGCAAACTGTACCAACACTAATGGTTCTTATAAATGCACTTGTAAGGAAGGATACAATGGGGATTAGATTAGTCTAAACAGCTTTTGGCGTTAGTTAATGACTAAGAATCTAAACAGATTTTCTTCTATATTAAGGTTTTTCTGGTAAATAGTTTATGTTAATAGATGTCGATTAATGTAACGATAGACGCCATACTTGTGATGTTAAGGTGAATTGTTCCAACGCCAATAGTTCGTATCATTGCATGTGTAAGGAAGGATACACTGGAGATGGACAGTCATGTCAAGGTGAAAAAGAATAGCTTACACCATTGAAACGAGCAGCTTTGCTCGTAAACAATTGCCCTTGAAAATTGGCCCACATTTCAGTGACCTGTTTCAACGCACTACTGTCGTAATTCTATGTATTAACTTTTATACGTTACTTATGCTTCTAGATATCGATGAATACAGTAATGGAAGCCATGATTGTGATGTAAATGCGAATTGCAGAATAGCTGTTCATGACAAATAATTGCCTCGTGATCCGAGAAACTGGTCAAGACTGTTTTTTCCTCTATTCAGTTACCCTTTGCAAATCTATTGTGTTCACAGATATTGATGAATGCAACGATTGCAGTCATGTTTGTGATGCTAATCCTAACTGTACCAACACCAATGGTTCTCATAATTGCATCTGTAAGGAAGGATACCTTGGAGATGGACAGTCTTGTCAAGTAAGATTGGAACTGCGATACTTTATGTCGGGCATAGCAGCTTTCCATAATAAGTATTGTCTTTATAACTAGGCTCATGATCAAGAGGCAACGTAATGATTTTCACGCCCCGATCTCGTATTTCTATTACGTTGCGGGTTTAATCGTACAGATTAAAAGATATATTTTACAGGTTGCTTAGTATTTTTCCGAGCCTGGAAGGAACAACGATAAATAAGAGCAATGAACAAGATTTATTCTCGTATTACATTAATAAACCATCGAATAAGGGATTTATCATTCCACTATTACTTGGAATATTTTTCTCGAATGTGCGGCCACGCTCGGATAACCTTAAGCCTTCTCCACCCTCGCTTTTTAAAATAGATACAAGAAAAATCTGTTTTTACTCCCACACTTTTTTTTTACAACTTTTCAGCCTTCAACAACAGCAGGGTCAGTACAGCAGAATAATTTTATTTTCCATACCAGATTTTTCTATCTTTATGTACTTGCAGAGTTCCTTTATGCATGATCTATTCTTTTGATTTTTGTCCTATTGCTAAGGTAACTTAAGTAGCGCCCCTACCGACGAATCGAGGAAGCGCCCTCCCCACAAATAAGTGCCCCCTCCACCCAGTTTTAGCCAAAATTTCCAATAAGCGCCCAGGCGCTCATTGAAAATCTCAATTTTTTCAATAATTGAAGTACACAAAATATCGCCTGAGGAACTAAAAATGTATCTTGCGGAGTTTATTCACTCTTTTCGACATAAAGACAGAGAAGATAATGAACCCTCAGGCTTCACATGCCTTGTTTCAAGTCATGAAAGGTGTTTTGATATTTTTTGCTAGCTGTCAGTGTGTTGCATTATTTCTATTGAGAAGGGAAATTTATATTGTTTGTATCTTTCATGATCGATTTATAAACCGTTGATTTATTTTTTAACAATTAATTGTCATTAGAGAGGAGAAGAATTTTGGTTCACGCCGTGCGAAATGTTGGACATATATATATTCCTTTATCTGAAAATCTGTCTGATGATCTCGTAAGGGTGAAACTCAGAGTCAGATAAAAGTTATGTCTTATTGATTTGTCCAACTTTCAGATACGCATACGCATAGAGCACTATACTGCAAGGATAGACTATAATCAAGATTTATTTATATATCCCTTTTTAAATATACTGAGTTAAAAAATTCCGTCTCTCTTGCACTGTCTCCGCACCGGAGGCTTACTACATTGCTGATACTAAAAGGAAGGGTACTATATATAACTCCGTTTTAACTTGTTCGTTGCTTGTTACAAATCTTTACTATATCTCTCAACTGAGGACGTTCTCTTTTAGGCATTGACGAGTGTAGTGAGGTTTATGGCGTCAAAATGAACGACTGCCATCCCAAAGCCTCTTGCGTTAATACCCAGGGCTCATACAACTGCTCTTGCAATCCTTCCTATATTGGTAATGGTTCTATACGTGAAGATAAGTGCCAATGTACGTCCTGTTAAATGTTACCAATGAGCGCGCAGAGTTGGTAACACGTATATTCGATAAAGGGAAGCATAAATCCGTGTAACCTAATACGCTAAGAAATTAAAGTCACGATGAAAATTTCTCTGCGCTAATGTAATTTAACTTTGTAGGCGATCCGTGTTAAAAATGCAAAAATCTGAGTGATGCCACCAGAAAGAGCAGTTACTCAACACCGGTACAGGGACTAGCCTTTTTATCAGGGGTGGTGGGGATGGTTAGGGTATTTGTCTTTGACTGGAAAAGTTTTGGGATAAATCATACATGTTACTCACCGGAGAACTCACGAAACTTGGAATAGTTTTTAATTCTGAAAAAGAACAGTTGAAATTTTTTTCTTGTTATAATTATAATTATTATTATTGTTTTATTTATCATTATCATTATTATTATTTAACTTTAATTTCTACAGTAAATTTCTTACACTTAGAAGATCAAGACCTTTTCTCCTTTATTTATTTATTTTTTTGAGCATCTTGAGTATCTTTTAATGTCTTTTTACGTGATATTTCTTCATGTCTGTATTATTTTCATAATTGTGATAAGAAAAGTAATTTCTTTCTCTTGTGACGATAAGTTTTCGCGCCCCAAAACTGGAAAAACTGAATCTTCGCGGACGGCACAATAACAACTGGGGGGAATAACTCGATAGAGACCACTTGGCAGCGAGAACGGAAACTCGTCACGATTTCCTGGTACACGGAGATCTACTTCGAGCGAGCTAATACGGACGTCAAGGATAAGACAATCTTGGGTTCCACAGTACTTTTATTCTAGGTCAGGCCAACAAGCGACATGACCTCTAGCATACTCTAGCTTGTAATCATCGAAGCTGTACAAGGTACTTGCTTAAGAAGTAACTGGTGTGAGGTGCTATTGTTACACAAATCGTAATATTTGAATAAGGACACAAAGGAGCGGAAAAAAGTCTCTTTGAAGTTAAACGAAAACTACTTAAATATTCCATCTGTTTCTACGACGGAAAGAATCTCAAAATTAAAAAAGACGGATGCAATAAACTCTAGGCCATTAAAGTAGGAAACCTAGGTGCGATTTTACAGCTCTGATATAGAAAACAATACCTATCTTAATTGCAGTAGCGCAGCTCAGGAAATAAAAAAAACGGAAAAGCAATTAAAAGTTTCTACTTATTTATGTAAGGTTGGTTTGGAAACCATCTCATGAAAAGAAATCAAATTTACGACTATAAACTCAGCTCCTATCTACCATGAAAACCAATGTTTCCAGAAAGACCATTAACACTTACATTTACCTAAAAAACCCATGTAATAAATGACAAAAGTGCCGACAAGCAGGTGCATATGATGAAAGCGAGTAACAACAAAAATCTATTCAAAAGCTACTGTGGTTTTTATGCATTTTTTGATTTATTAAAATGAAAGGAATTGAAATGATTAAATGTGAAAGTTTACGAATAAATATGTTTCGAATAACACACACGGGAAAAGTCAGTAAATTTTCCCGTAACACTCTTTCTTTTTTGTTATTATTATTTAACTTTGATTTGTAGCCGATCCGTGCTATAAGTATCAGAGCCTGAGTGATGCCACTAGAAAAAGCAATTACATAACACTCGTTGAAGCGTCGCTATGTGACAAGCTACTCCCAGGGGGCTGGTATCGTTTCGTAGGAGTTACTGGAACTAAAATGCAGAGAACGCGTGTGCCAGCATACAGATGTGGTACAATGTGGTCAGGCTGGTTTGTTGGTGCTCATCCTGCAGTGGAAGATGGTGAAATTTCCAGGAAGGTCTACTTTAGCGATCGTTCTACAGGTTGCAAATATACAATCAAGATTTTAGTTAAAATGGTGGATCATTTTACATCGAAAAACTGGCTCAGCCCCCTATTTGTGATTCCCGCTACTGTAGCACGGACTAAACATGAGTCTAAGAACTTCACAAAATGAAATACGTCATAAATAGGTCCTCGTGAACAATGTACTTTACGACTTACCGTAGTCCACTCCTTATCGTAATCCTTAATACCATCGTCATAACCTGGTGCATATTGTCAAATTTTTACGCCGGTGACGAACTGTTAAATGTTATATATATTAAGAGTGCTTATGTTGGTGGGTATCAAATATCATTTACATCATTTACGAAGACTTCTTGCCTGCAAAAAATGATAAGTGAAAACTGTCAAATTCACCTAACCTTTCCATCACCTTATACATTGTTTACTGATAGCATTTTACATTTTTGACAAGTTGCTTTATTATTTCATCAAGAGTTCTAACACGCCCTCGTATTCAATAAACTGTTCTATTGTTCATCGGTTTGGTCGGATGCAGCAACTGCACATCTACTTAAGCTTCAAGCTGTACAGAACTTCGCCGCCCGGATCATCAGCAACACCAGGAAGTTCGACAACGTAACCCCAATCTTGAAAGATTTACGCCGGCAGCTCCCAGTCAAATCGCAGCTACACTATCGCGATTCCGTACTTGCATTCAAATGTATGTCTGGTCTAACGCCCTCTTATCGTGCCTTGCTTTTCTTAAAGCGAGGAGAGGTAAGTGGTCGCGTCACTCGAAATTCCCACCTTCTTAATTTTCCCTTGTTTTTAGAGCGCTATAGAACAAAAGACCTTTTCATATCGGACAGTTTTGTTAAAGCCGTGATTTAGACAATGATTTCAAGCTGTATAATATTGTAACTTAAACATTGACAGTTTTTACCAGTAGATTCTTGTGCGCTCCTCCTCTTTCTTGGGACTCTCTCCATTTCCCATGCCCCTAGCCAGTTGATGACTTGCGCTGGGTTGGCGCGAAAGTTGTTCCTGTTGTCGTTTTCTTTCTTTTCACTTTCTTTTAATGACGGCGGCTTCTAGAGTCCTGCGGTTAGTCGCTACTTACACATGCATAACGGGGAGTGATAATCCCGCAATAAAGTGCAGAGTTTTATCGACGTTTCGAGGTTTTGAAGAATTAAGAAGTGGGTACTAAAAGAAAGAGAGGAAAAAAGGAAGAAAGGAAGAAAGGAAGACGGAAGAGGAAAATGAAAGAAAGCGAGAAAAAAAGGCAAAGCAAAGAAAAACTACTCATCAGCTATTTTCTTTGGACAAGGAGAGGAAACCGAGTTCCTAACGTACTGGAAATACCTAAAAGCAACATGTGGCTCGAACAATCGAGATTCAAGGTCACATTTATGCATAAAACATCACGCATGTGACGAAACTGAAACTCGAAACTGAAAGACACGTCGACAAACAGACTTTTAGAATTGAGAAAATGCTGTGTTAACCTTTCATGATCATAAGCTAAAACTTCGAATGAAGGGACTCATCTGCCTGATGATGTTTTTACGCCAGTAACTTTGTTTCTCAGCATCTTGATTGTGAAGTTAATCCTGCATCCACGCCTAGAGATCTCATCTGAGATGACGTCGTCAGAAAACGAGACTATCTCTTTGGATCATATCCATCCAAAACCTGCAAATCTTGGAGAACAACTTTCAATTACGGGAAGCAGAGATCTATTGACAGCTGCCAATCGTTCTTCTAGATCCCGCCGAAGAATTATGGTCATTCTTGTTGCTATTGCAGTGGCAATTTCTGCAATCATCGTGGCAGTGTTCATTGGAAAATACGTTTCGGAATACCTTAGTGGTGACCTTGTTTCTGGCGCACAGCTGTTTTCAAACGAGGCGCTCATCATTTTTAGAACCAGCATGTTTACCAACACGAGGATCCTTCTTTGCAAAAGCGCCGAATTCGTGTAACTATGTTGATGATACAAGATATAATGATCCAAGGAATGATTTCTAGTTTTTGCGAGAGCATGTATTTGAGTTATTTTCGTTTTCAATCAAACGCGTGGCAAGATGAGGGTGTGATATTTTTTCTCTCACAAGTCTCACAACGAAGAAGGTGCGAGTTTTTTTTTATTTATCTTTTGCAAAAAAAAGCAGGTCCTGCTTAAAAGTAAGTCTCTCTCATTTAAAACTGTCAGAGTTTTACAGCGGATTTTAACAATCTTTGTTAAAAGTAAGGAGCTGTCAACAGCTTCTCCAAATTTTCGTAGAGAGTAGGCGCTGGCGCAGAGCTGTTTTCTAACGAAGGGCTTACTTTCTGGAACCAACAAGTCTACCTAGGAAGAGGATTCCTGTTTTACAAAAGCACAGAATTCTTGCAACGATGTTGATGACACAAGATGTATTGAGCGAGGAAATTATCTCTAGTTTTTGAGAAAACATCTATTTTGAGTTATTCTCGTTTTCAGTCAAACGCGCGGCAAGACGAGAGTGTGATATTTTACTCACAAGTCTCACAATGGAGAAGTTGCGAATTTTTTGTTTTTGGCTTGTTCTGTATTCTCTTTCGGAGAAAAAAAAAGCAGGTCTTGCTTCAGCTTACATAGTTTTACGATGGATTCTAACAGTCTATTAAAATTATAAAGCTATCAACAGTTTTCCCAAATATTCCCTTTGTAGAAAGCGGACGTTCGGACTTTATGTTTGTTCTCAATCAACCAAGGCGGCATTTAACGAATCAAGGAGTGTGATTTTTTTCGCGTGTTAAGTTTTTGCTGGGCTTATGCATTTACGCTAAGGTAAGCAAATTATGGGAGGCGATTGCGCAGCGCTTTATGCAAACTAAGAAAATAGGATAACTTTCGTAGCGCGAAATTCGATTGCCCTAAAATTTGGTAGATGAATCTGAGGGATGTGATTGAATACACGTAACCTGTTGAGCAAAAAAAAAAGGAAGAAACTAGCAGAACATGACTATGCGAAAAAAATCTCATCTCCTGCTATCACACAAAAGGATGAATAAGTATCAATTAGATGTCGGTTTTTGTAAACACAAAAAAATTGTGGGAGGAGATTATTCACTTTTTCTTGCTTACGAGGCGCGAAATTTAAATATACTCGGATTGAATAGTCGAGTCGAATGGGAGATTGACGAACGTGTGCAACTATTTCCACTCGCCATTGTTTTTTTTTAACTCCTTTCGTTGAATTGAAATACGGAAAGAGAAAGATACCCGTAAAAATACATGAATTAACGACGCGCGAGGCTTCGGACGTTATTACCAGGTTTAAATCACACGCTAGAGGAAGGAGAATATGAACCTTTTTGTGCACGTCAGGAACAAAATCTCATTCACCCAGCGCGAAATTTAAATACCCGCACATTAAACAATCGAGCAAATGACGATAGTCTCCTACATGATTCAACGGCGTGGTAGGCTTCCGTCGTTAATACCAGGTTACACACGCTCTCATCACTTTTGTATCGCACAGTGAGCCTCTAATTGAATATATCTTTCGCCAGTTTTAAACAATGTAAAGGAAAAAAAGGTGACATCTCTTTACTTCAGATACGAAAGCTACAGTCGCCCCACCATCCACCCCACCGTGACTATTTGCATCCTTAAAAATCTACCAGAATCACCCCCACGGGGAGGATTTGTCGTATCATCAGTTTTGCCGATGGTTTAAATCTGCCGCTCGTATAATAATCGGAAATTTTGAAAAATCCCGCGTGTATTTTAAAGCTGTTTCCGCCATTGTTCCAAGGTAGCCATATACGGTCATTGTAATTGATAAACAAAGCCTGCTCAACTTTCAGGTGATCCGCTTTTCTTAATACGAGTATCAGATGTCACTCAATTTTTTGTATTTATTCAGAAGTCAACAATAAAAACGACGTCTTTGAACAAAAGATAGAAGTTGGTGGAAATTTTAGCACATCGATGTGCCATTGTCGATGTCCTAGTAGTAGAAATTAATCGTCTCATTCTTACGTAACACCATAAGCTAGCGGACAAAATTAATCAATAGATCTATGGAAAAGACGATAAAGTAAGTATTCCGTTTATCATGTAAATGGTAAGCCAATAAAGGAAACATGTAGGAGCACTTTCGTCCGCGTTGTCCAAACCTTGCCAGATTGATTTTTCAAATTCGATATCACAATATCGATATCGATATCAAAAAATTTTTACCGTTTTATCGATATCAAAAGCTTCGTAAATTTAAAAAAGAAACCAATTTCTAAAGAAATCGTAAAGCTGGCGTTTTTGTCCTCTCATCGATGTTAGAGTATGAGCGATAAGTTTTAAACGAGCTTTGAAATTCAAAGACAAGCGATCCACTGACAGAACACGTACGAGCACATAAGCAACTGCAATGCTGCTTAAGAGAATTCCAGACGTAAGCTTGCCTAGATACGCATGGTTAATAAGATGTCTATTTCGACTTTTAAACAAAGAGTGAAGCAAAAGTGTGACAAAAGTGTCGTACATGCGTGACATTTTTAAAACGTTACATTTAAGAGTACGTGTTGTGTATGATGGTCATAGATTAAGAGCTAAATCTACGAGCTGAGTTCTTGTAAGTTTTGCACACGAATTTCGGTTCTTGAGTCCATGCTATTTGATGTAGAAGGCAGAAATAGCAGCTCTAATTTCACTTTAATGGCGTCTTCAATTGTAGGGTATCACGATGACAAATGGCAAGTTCACTCGAATAATTTGCTTTTCCTTGATAATTTATTACTTATATAGCGCAAAATACATGTGGATATGATCTAATGCCCTTGTGTAGGCCAGAAAGGAGACTTTGTTTTGATATTTGGTTTTCTTAAACTCAAGATTGCACTGAGTTATAAGTTCTTCGGACAACAATCAGGCCAAAACGATGTCATATTTCCTCCCAGGGTTAAGGTAAAAATGAATGTTTTCACGCGCTTGTGTTGTTCCTCTATTAAGCTACCTTTTTCTACATTACTTGTGTCCCCAGGCATCGACGAGTGCAGCACTGGAAGCTATGTATGTTACATAAATGCGAACTGTACTAAACTGACGACTCTTATATCTGCGCCTGTAGGGAAGGATACACTGGAGACGGGCATTCATACCAAGGTATTTTCACTGCATTTGACCTTGCAAATAGCAGAATAAAGTTTCTCAAAAATAAAAAAAAACTCTTTCCATTAAACTTAGAAATTTGATGTTTTTTTCTCTGTCTAGTAACATTTGGCAATTAATTTTTGTTCACAGATGTCAATGAGTGTAGCAATGGCAACCATGTTTGCCATGTTAATTCGAACTGTAAGAACACAAATGGTTCTCATATTTGTACCTGCAAAGAAGGATACATTGAGATGGACAGTCATGTCAAGGTGAATAAGAGTAGCCTACACTATTTAAAATAAGCAGCTTTGCTCATAAGCTATCGCCCATGAAAATTAGCTCTGATTTTAGAGGCCTGTTTTCACGCACCACTATCGTATTGTTTTAAAATTACTTTTTATACAACACTAACGTTGCTAGATATCGACGAATGCTGCAAAGGAAGCCATGATTGTGACATAAATGCAAATTGTACAAACATTAATAGCTCCCATAGCTGCACCTGTAAGGAAGGATATATTAAAAAAAGGAGAGTCATGCCAAGGTAAAATAAGATTAGACTTGTCATCCAACAAACTGGTTAAGATTTTTTTCTCTATTCAGTTACCCTTTGCAAATCTATTATGTTCACAATGCAACGATGATAGCCATGTATGTGATTCTAATGCTAACTGTACGAACACTAATGGTTCTCATAGCTGCATCTGTAAGAAAAGATACATTATAAATGGACAGTCTTGCCAATGTAGATTAAAACAGCGATACTTGATGTCGAGCAAAGCAGCTTTCCATAACAAGTATTGTCTTCGTATCTGAGGTTATGATCGAGAGGTAGCGTAATGATTTTTACGCCCCGACCTCGTATTTCTATTAGGTTTCGAGTTTCATCATATGCATACATTCACATTTTTCGATGTTTTAGAATATAATACGCGCGGATATGCAGTCTTGCCAATGTAGAGTAGAACAGCAGTACTTGATGTTGAACAAAGCAGCTTTCCATGACAAGTATTGTCTTTATAACTGAGGTTTTGATCATGAGGCAGCGTGATGATTTTCACGCCCTGACCTCGTATTTCTATTAAGTTACGGGTTTTGTCATATGCGTGCATTAAAATTTTTCGAAAGTCTAAAATATAATAGGCGCGGATATTTTACGAGCTAGACGCTAAACATGTATCTTGCGGAGTTTATTCGCTCTTTTCGACTTAAAGACAGAGAAGGTTATGAACCCTCAGGCTTAAGATGCCTTTTCTCAAGTATTTAGAGGTATTTTGTTATTTTGGGACAGCTGTCAGTATGTTGCATTATTTCTATCGAGAAAGGAAATTTACATGGTTTTTATCTTTCATGATCGATTTATAAACCATTGTCTGTTTGACAATTAAATGTTATAAAAGAGGATTAACTCTCCTTACGTACATATAAATTATATAATAAACTTGATACATTACGTTAAGTCTTCCCTTACGATATATGAACAATCGTTGCTTTATATCAAAAATCTTACTCGTTTGCGTTCACTCGCTCGACTTCCGATACTATGTACTACAAGATATTGATGAGTGCCTCAGTAGAAGCCATGCTTGTGACGTGACTGCGAATTGTACCAACACTGACGGCTCCCACAACTGCACCTGTAAGGAAGGATACATTGGGGACGGACACTCATGCCAAGTTATAATAATAAAATTATACTAAGCAAATAGCAGAATGAAGTTTCTCACAAATAAAAAAAAATCTCTTGCGTTAAAAACAGAAATTTGATGTTTCTCTCTGTCAAGTAAAGTTTTTCAATTCAGTTTTGTTCACAGATATCAATGAGTGTAACGATGGCAACCATGTTTGCGATGTTAATTCGAACTGTAACAACACAGATGGTTCTCACATTTGTACCTGCAAGGAAGGATACACTAGAGACGGACATTCATGTCAAGGTAAATAAGAATACCCTACACTTTTTAAAACAAGCAGCCTTGCACATAAACAGAAAAGAAAAGAGCTATATGCGGAAGGTTTTACTTTTAAGAGCAGGATTTGATTTTTTTTTTAAATTCAAAATCATTATTCTTATTTGCAATATTCATTTTTTTAGTTTCGACGGATTCTCAGGGGATGGTTGTTACGTAGGAGGAGCAACTCAAAGGACACAGTCTGCAGATGCAATCATTTCACGCATTTTGCTGTCTTAGTTGACTTCAGAGGCGACGCGGAGGCATATTTTTCCTTTTTAAGGTACTTTACTCTCAATAAATAAGTGTCATGCTCCGCGAAAAACTCTATTGTCCATTTTCACTTTTGCCACAGCTCTCCAAGAAGGACGTTACTATTCTGGAGATAATCACATACGTCGGATTAAGCCTTTCCATCGTCGGAATACTTTTGACCATAACGCTGTATTCTTTTCTCTTGTAAGTATACTGCTTCCAAACAATCAGTGTTGCGCTTTCTTACATGACTTTCACGATGTAAAAATCAGGCCAGTACGTGCATAAATAGATTAGATAACTCTAAGCGACTGAAGTAAAACGCAACCGTGCTAATTTTTAGAATCAAATGCGCGCAACAGATGTTGAGCACAGCACTATCACAGAGTGTTCAGATTCATCTTCCTTCAGTCTCTCGAAACAACCAGGGAACGTTTTCAAAATAGCTTTGGTATTAAGTTTCTATTGATTTTCTTCCTCTGCTTGACTCATGCTTTCAATTCTTATTATTGCTCTTCACTTGTGTTTCTATTGGTTCCTCGAGCTTGCTCCCTGGCTTTGTTTTGCTTTTGTTTATGCACTGCACATAAACATGATATTCACTTTTACTAGAGATGTTCGACAACCACTACCTCAATTACGACTTGACTTTGTGTGCCCCTCGGAGCTGGACAAATCATCTTTCTCTCTGGAATAAACGCCACAGGAAAAATGGTGAGTGGCTATATATTATTGGTGGAATTCCTTCAAAGACGTCATTCTTGAACGAAACGTGAAACCAAGAAAAAATGAATTTTCTGGTCTTTCCTCTCCTTTCTTTTGCAGACAGCGTGTATCACATCAGCAGTTCTTATGCAGTATTTCCTGATGGCCGCTTTCTGTTGGATGCTGGTAGAGGGAATTTATCTTTACCTTCTTGTTGTGAAAGTTTATAAAATCAGCGACAAGATGTATATTTATCACGTCGTGTCATGGGGTATGTTAGTTGTACAATTGTATTTATTATGTTGTTGTGAATTATTTTGTTAACGAACTGTATCATTTGGATCGCTATATGATTCTAATTTGTGATAGGTTTGCCCGTCATCGTGGTGGCCATTTCATTAAGCATAGCAGCTGGAGCAGCAGATGGGATACAGAGCTACATCAGTGATGACTAGTGAGATGGAATTTTAAAGTTTCTTTTTCTCCCCTCAACCCTTTTGTATACTTTTTTGTTGAGGTTTTGACTTGATTTCATCTTTTCTTTCCCCTCTTCATTATCATAGTGAGTCTGCCCTCTATTTCCTTTGATTCTCGAAACCTTTTATCCTTTTAGGCCAGCTTCTGACATATATATTTTTTGTTATAGAACTGTTGCTGTTCATCGTTGTTTTACAATAAACGTTTTATAAGTGAACGTTTAATAGTTTGTCGCACGATGTAAGAGTCAATCTACTCAATCGTGTATCGATCGCGAAATCGAGATCAATAGACGATTTATCAACTTGACTCTTACATTGTGAGAAAAACTATTAAATGTTTATTTATGGTTATTTTCATAGTATGGATGTTACTCTCTGTCTTCCCTGTCAGGAAGATTGGGAAACTGAAATCCACCAGTATTTAAAATTTTTTGCGCTCTTTTTTGATGTTTTTTTTCCTTTTCCTTCTTAGTTGTTGGATGTCCTCAACTAACAATCTGATCTGGATATTTGTCACATTTGTGGTTATCGTTGAAGTTGTAAGTTTCAGATTTGAACCAATATTTTTTCTTTTGACGTTGTCATTTGCGATTCTGGTTTGAGACATAATATATGTAACAGCCCTACCTCAATAGAACAGTGTTTTCATCTCTCCTCTTTCAGATTAACATTTTGATTCTCACTCGAGTCATAAGGGAGATGACCAAAATGCAGCCAAGAGGAGGAAAGCAAATTCAGCAAATACGGTATGAACGATTTCAAAATTACGATTAAAAGACGGAGAGTTTGTGCCGAATATTAGATCAAAATATTATCAAATTCCTACATTTGAGACCTGGTAATATTGATACATTTTTCAATTTTTTAATGATATTCGCTTAACGTTATGGAGAATTCTGATTACCAGAAATATCCTTGAAGAAAAGATACAAATTAATAAATCCCCATATCTCAAATTATCATCCTCCTTCAGACTTGGCATTAGAACATGCGTCGTGATGACTCCCTTGCTGGGTGTAACGTGGTTATTTGGATTCCTTTCGCCTGCACACAAAACTTTCGCCTACATTTTCACCATACTCAACTCCACTCAGGTGAGTTTTAGTCCGACTAGTTTTTTATCCATTTAAAGAGTTTAGATTACGATACAGTAAAAAATTTTTGCTATGATAATTGCAAAATAAGACATACGATGATAAAGTTAAGAAAAAAGAAAAAAAAAGAGAAAAATACTTTCTGCTGCTTTTTTGTCATTCTCGTAACTTAAGGGGTTATATGGTGTGAGTGACTGAACTTACGTCACTGTACTCTAAGATATTAAAACAAAAACTAAAAAGAAAACAAACAAAGAAAACAAAACCTCTCTTTATCTAACCCTGAATTGCATACTGTTTAAAAAAATGACACTGAAAACGAGTTCCTTTGTCTTTTAAGGGTTTCCTGATTTTCATTCTTCACTGTGTGCGAAATGGTCAGGTAAGTTTAATTTTAAAAGAATAAATATGGTATAGATAATGAGGTTTTAAAAATTTACTATACAAGTGTAAAAGGATACATTGGTATGCCTTCTTTTCCTTAGATTAGAGTAAGAAAAAGAAAGCTTTCAAATTACTTGTTTATCTGCAGATTAAAGAGCGATTCAATAGAAAGATGAGTATCATTTTTTCCATCCCAAAACATTGAATGGATTTTTATCGATTACTCGCTTTTACTATGCACCTGCTTGTCGGCACTTTTGTCATCTAGTACATGGTTTTTTTTAGGTAAATATAAGTGTTAATGGTCTTTCTGGAAACATTGGTTTTCATGGTAGATAGCAGCTGAGTTTATACTCGTAACCTTAATTTCTTTTCATGCGATGGTTTCCAAACCAATCTTGTATAAATAAGCAGAAACCTTTAATTGCTTTTTCGTTTTTTATTTCCTGAGCTGCGCTACTGCAATTAAGATAGGTATTGTTTTCTATACCAGAGCTGTAAAATCGCACCTAGGTTTCCTACGTTAATGGCCTAGAGTTTATTGCATCCGTCTTTTTTAATTTTGAGATTCTATCCGTCGTAGAAACAGATGGAATAATTAAGTAGTTTTCGTTTAACTTCAAAGAGACTTTTTCCGCTCCTTTGTGTCCTTATTCAAATATTGCGATTTGTGTAACAATAGCACTTCGCACCAGTTACTTCTTAAGCAAGTACCTTGTACAGCTTTGATGATTACAAACTAGAGTATGCTAGAGGTCATGTCGCTTGTTGGCCTGTCCTAGAATAAAAGTACTGTGGAACCAAGATTGTCTTATCCTTGACGTCCGTATAAGCTCGCTCGAAGTAGATCTCCGTGTACCAGGAAATCGTGACGAGTTTCCGTTCTCGCTGCCAAGTCGTCTCTACAGAGTTATTTCCCCCAGTTGCTATTGTGCCGTCCGAGAAGAGTCAGTCCTCCAGTTTTCCAGTTAGCGGGCGAAAACTTATCGTCACAGCAATTAAGTCTTGAAAAAAAAAAAGGCATATGAGAAAGTAATCTGGAGAACTTTATAATCAATTTACTTTATCAACTACAGTAAAGATAGTGCAGTCGTCACGTTTCCGTGTATGGAGTGATGCTTCAATGACACATCTTCAAGATAGTCGAGACCTCTAACACACTTCAGTGTCTTAAGGCCTGTAACGACGAGAAAAGATGTCAAAGCTTCAACTTCGTCGTTTCCAAGAGCATCTGTGAGATGAATAACCGCACCAAGGAAGCCAGACCTGAAGACTTCGTCCCTGACTCTGATCGGTATTATTGTGGAAGAGTTAGAAACCGAGGTTTGTTATTAGTAAGAGAAAGAGCGAAATTAAAACATTTCGAGAGAGAGATGCTGACCTTTCTGCTATAGCTGAAAGCAGGCTTTGGACAATATTTTTTATTGTTATTTGTACCCTCGAACAGAAAGTTGATCTCGATACTAAAAGTTATCTTTTAAGTATGTTTTGTGTAACTGGAATGTTTTATTCATTATCATTATCTAGTTATTTAAAAATTTCTTATACATTTATTTATTTATTTATCTGTTTCTCTATTTGTTTGTATTTTCTTATCAAAATCCTTTACTTTTTTCGTAGTTTAAGTTCTGTGAATCATCCGCAACTGTCAGTTTCTTCTTTCAGAAACTTTACTGTAAACATATTCTTGTCATTGTTCAGTTCCACTGGGATCCATTCCCGAGCTTCCTGCTGAATCGTGTAAAGAAATTAAGGCCAGTGAAGGAGAACAAGCGGTCAGCGGCAACTACTGGTTTAAATCAGATCTACTTAAATATGCTGTTTTGGTTTACTGCGATATGAAAACAGAGGGTAAAGCATAAACTTGCAAAGTGAAATCGAAATCAATCATTATTCATTCTTTAATTCACTGATAAATGCAATCATTTATTTTCCTCACTCACTCGTTCAATTTCTCCCTGGATGAATGCAGGGAACGTTCAGTTTTGTTCCTTTCTATAAAATTATTATAATAATAATGAGATGGTTATGGGATTTAGCAGTGGACATTCCACGAGGTAGCCCTTCTTTGAAAAGTTTGTTTGGAAAACCAGAGGACCCGGGGAAAGATTTGCGTAGCTACGACGAAAACCAACAACAAACTCAACCCACACGTGACACCAGGTCTGGGAAACAAACCTGGGCCACAACGTTGGGAGTCGAGCACTCTCACCACTGCGCCATCCCAGCTCCTCCAGAAAGAAACAGAATTTTGAACTAATTGTTTACGTTACAATTGCTATTAAATTTGTGCTACAGGTATTGACGAGTGCACTCATGGAATCCATGACTGCCTCAACGAATCGGCAAACTGTTTTAATACGGTTGGATCGTACAACTGTGTTTGTAAAGATGGTTACCAGGGCGACGGAAAAACCATTTGCACGCCAGAGGGTTAGTAGTTTAGCAGCACAAAAGTTATAAATTGTGACGATGAAGAGCTTTAGTTTTGCTTAATAGTTTTTTCTTTTATATAACTATTTAGAATGTTTAAGCTTCTCACTTCTGACCAGTGGAACAAGGAAAACTACCTACGACACATCCCCGGGAAAAGAATCTTGCGACAACGACCTCAGTGCGGGCTGGTTTCGTTTCCAAGGAGATGCAGGAACGAAGATGCCAGCCAAATGTGTACCTTACAAAAAGTGTGGCACTGACTCCACGGGTTGGCTAGACGGTTATCATCCAACAGTAGCTGATGGAAAGGTCAGGAGGACGGTTTGCTTTCGGGATCGTACAGACTGTTGTAAACATCCATTTTATATTAAAGTGAGAAACTGTGGATATTTCTATGTTTACCAACTAACGTCACGAACATCCTGCAGCCAACGCTATTGTAGCACTGACTGATAATTATGCTAGGATCAACCACAGAAAGGTCTAAAAATAACAGAGACTAAGTGAAGAGGGGGTAGGAAGGAAGGAGGTGGTATCGTAATTTGATCTCAATCATTGATAAAGACTCAATAACGTCAACTCAGAAGGATCTAATCAAAGATAAATGGATAGAAAAGAAAAATTCCTAAGAAAGATGGAAGAGCGGCCCCACTTTAAACTTGCCATTGTAGATCATCGTCTAAAGGGTAGAGTTAGCTTTACTAAACAGCAATCCAGGTTGTTAAAGTCCAAAATGGCGGAGAGCACATGATTATACTTCTCAAATGACTGTCTTAATCCAAAGTGATATAATTTATAGCACATAATCTAGCCAGGGAAAATTCTTTATCATCTTTCCTTTAAGTACTGAGTTACCAGGGGCGCTCTCCTCTCCCTTCTTGAACGCAACCGGTTAACAAACAGCATCTATCCTAGAGCAAATGTGTAAGTTTTGCATTTCGACGTTCAACCATTGTGGCACAATTAAAGGAGGAGAAGGCTGGGTGAATAAGGCTCTCTTGTGTTTCAGTATTTTGAGAATTTGAACATCACTGGATAGACTTGTGCAAATAAGGCTTTGAAACAAATTTATCGGTTGTTCCTAGCCTGTTACATACGCTGTTGAGGAACCTTAAATTTCATCAAATCGTAGTAAACTTATTAGTTTAAATTATGGGTCAACACGCATTCCTTGACCGAATATTCGCCACCAAGAGTTTGAGAATATCCCTAGTAAGATTTTCTTGCGGATTATTTCCTAAAATTAGGGGGAAGCAAATTGTGTTGTTCATAATGCTACGAGAAGGGTATTTTCGATTTTCAAATGTAGGCTTTTTATGAACACGCTGTCAGAAAGAAAATTTGTCAAAATAATTACGGGATGGTGAACCTTTAACTGAAACATTGGGCCTGTTGTGGTTCTTTACATGGACAATACACGGCGAATTCTTGAAAGAGTTCGTCGAGGGTAAATTTTGATTAAAGTTTTCCGTTAAAATGTGTAAGTTGTAATAAAAAAGACCACATTTCGATGTTTACTTAACGTCATTATAAAGTCAGTACAAAAAACTTAATATACATTGTATGAACACAATATAAAAAGTAAAACAATCAGTAAATAATCATATCAAGAAGAAGAAAAAATTTAAGTGTTAACTTTGGTCTCAATTCCTAATGAGGAGAATTTAAAAAATCAGGCAGTCAATCTTTGATCATGTTGTTTAATGCGTTGCTATAGATGTCGAGGCGTGTATATTTTGCGTCGGTAGTTTACGGTTTTTTTGTACTGTTTTTTGGTCAAATCATATCTCAAACTTATTTTTTTGAGGATTGCAGCTCAATTACTAGATTTAGGCAAACAAGAAAGACGAGTTATTAATGTTATCAACAGAATCGTCCAGATGAGTTTCCCCCGCAGTAATTCTTGTAAATAGTAAATACTGAATATTTAGCTAAAGGTTTAGTTTAATGTAACAATAGTGTAGCAGAATACGTTGGGCAAATGTTGCCCAGAGCAACTACCTTAATCTTAATGAATTTTAAGTTGTCCACATCTAAGGCACAACCTGTATGTCTGAAGAATTTTTATCTGGCTCTTAATCATTATTGCTTCTGAAGATATTTTGCCTCCATATCTTATTAAAACATTTCATTTCAAATATTATGTTTACTAATTATGGCCGGAACGAAGCCATGATTAATTAGGAAATATGTAAGATCATGCAGAATTAGTTTTTTAAAGATATTATCAAAGATATGGAGCTTGTATTAGACCCGGTTCTCAAAACTCCGAATGTTGAACTACGGATGAACTTCCCTTGTTTAATAATAAATGAGAATCAACTGACAATCATGAAAATATTCCCTTAAATAGCACTTTAAATCTTCTATTTTGGAAAAAATACAAATTCCAGATGCGAGAATATTAAAAACAAAAGACAGGAAAATAACACGAAAGGAAAAAATTAAAAAAACCGCTCAAACTTGCGAAAAAATCTGATTTTGTGGTTGGTTTGTGACGTTTCGTTCATGCCAGGAGTCTCATCAGACAATTTTCGGAATGATCAAACAAACTTGTTGAGGTAACTTAAGAAGCGCCCCTTTCGACTAATCGCCAAAGTGCCCATCCTACAAATAAGTGCCCTCTCCCCCTCCAAGTTTTAGCCGAAATTTTCAATAAGTGCCCAAGCGCTCATTGAAAATGTCTAAATATTTCAATGATTGAACTACAGACAATATCGCCTGAGGAACTAAACATGTATCTTGCGGAGTATATTCACTCTTTTCAAGACAGAGAAGATTAGGAACCCTCAGGCTTAACATGACTTGTTATCGAAAAAGGAAATTTATATGGTTTTTACCTTTCATGATCGATTTGTAAATCATTGTCTGTTTGACAATTAATTGTTATAAAAGAGGAATTTACTCTTCTTATGTACATGTAAACTATATAATAAATCTAATACATCACGTAAAGTCTGTCCGTAAGGTGTGTAAAGAATCGTTGCTTTATATCAAAAATCTTTCTCGTTTGCTGCGTTCACTCCCACTGTTGTGGTTCTTTTTTAAAAGAACAGGAGGCGTAGATTGTAAGACACACACACGTTTTATTCCAAAGCAAGAAGAACACTAAACTAAATCACACGTAAATAATGATCAATGCTTATATTTTATATGCGGTGACCAAGGTACTAATATGATGACCGCTGGCCGGAAGCGGAGGCCAGCCAACATTACGACACTCTCGATTTCGGATACTACGAGCTCGTGCGTAAATACCATACAGACAGACTTTGCATGAATTATTCTATATCTATATCATTTGTACTACCAGATATCGATGAGTGCCTTAGTGGCAGCCATGCTTGTGACGTGACTGCAAACTGTACCAACACTGACGGCTCTCACAACTGCACTTGTAAGAAAGGATACACTGGGGATGGACAGTCATGCCAAGATATAATCACTGCATTAGACTTAGCAAGTAGAAAAAAAAAGCTATTTCCTCAAAAACTTAGAAATCTTATAATTTGCTTCTGTCGAGCAACGTTTTGGCAATTCATTTTTGTTCTCAGATATCGATGAGTGTAGCGATGGCAACCATGTTTGCGATGTTAATTCAAACTGTAACAACACAGATGGTTCTCATATTTGTACATGCAAGGAAGGATACACTGGAGATGCTGGAGATGGACAGTCATGTCAAGGTGAATAAGAGTAGCCTACACTATTTAAAACAAGCAACTTTGCACATAAACAATTGCCCAAGGAAATTAGCCCTCATTTTAGAGACCTGTTGTCACACACCACTCTCGTATTTCTATTACCATACTTTTTGTATATCACTTATGCTTCTAGATATCGACGAATGCAACAATGGAAGCCATGATTGTGACGTAAATGCGAATTGTACAAACACTAATGATTCCCATAGCTGCACCTGTAAGGAAGGATTCACTGGAAAAGGAGAGTCGTGCCAAGGTAAAATTAGATTATACTTTAAAAAAAAAGCAGAATAACTGCTCATCACAAATAATTGCCTTGTTATCCAACAAACTGGCTGAAGAATTTTTTTCTCTATTCAGTTACACATTGCAAATCTATTGTGTTCACAGATATTAATGAATGCAACGATGATGTTTGTGATTCTAATGCTAACTGTACCAACACTAATGGTTTACATAATTGTATTTGTAAGGAAGGATACATTGGAGATGGACAGTCTTGCCAATGTATATTAGAAGAGCGATAACTTATGTCGAGCAAAACACCTTTCCATTACCAGTATTGTCTTCGTAACTAGGCTAATGATCAAGAGGCAGCGCAATGGTTTTCACGACCCTACCTCGTATTTCTATTAAGTTACGGATATCATAATATGCATAGATACACAGTTTTCGCTGGTTTAAAATATAATGCGTGCGGCTATTTTACGAGTTGCTTAGAGTGTTTCCGAGCCCAGAAGGAACGAGGATAAAAGAAGGCAATGAGCAAGATTTCTTCTCTTACCATTGAATAAGAGATACATCATTCCACTATTATTCGGAATATTTTTCTCGAATATACGGCCACGCTCGAATAACCACCCCCACCCTACCCTTCTCCTCCCTCACTTTTTTAAATAGTATAGATACAAGGAAAATCTGTTTCTATTGCCACACTTTTTTATATAACTTTTTAACCTTCAACAACAGCGCAATCTGTACAGCAGAATAATTTATTTTCCATCCGAAAATATTTTCTATGTTCATGTGGTTACAGAGTTCCTTTATGTATTGTCGATTTATTTTATGTCCTATTGCTGAGGTAACTTAACAAGCGCCCCTCTGGACTAGTCGACGAAACACCCACCTTAAAAATAAGTGCCCCCTCCATCTCCCCAGTTTTAGCCGAAATTTTCAATAAGCGCCCACGCGCTTATTTTAATAATTGAAGTACACACAATACCGCCAAAGGAACTAAACATATATCTTGCGGAGTTTAGTCACTCTTTTAAACTTAAAGACAGAGAAGATTATGAACCCTCACGTTTAACATGCCTTGTTTAAAGTATTGAGAGCTAGTTTTTTTAATTATATTTTTTTTTCTTGGTGTCAGTGTGTTGCATTATTTCTATCGAGAAGGGAAATTTATATGGTTTATATCTTTCATGATCGACTTATAAACCACTGACTTAAGTCTGTTGAACAATTAACTGTCATTAAAGAGGACTTTTCTCTCCTTCTGTACATGTTAACTAGATAATAAACCTAGTACTCACGTACAGTCTGTCCGTACGGTATGTAAACAATCGTTGGTTTACATCACAAATCTTACTCGTTTACCGCGTTCACTCGCTCGACTTTCGATACTACGAGCTCGTGCGTAAATATCATACAGACAGACTATGCATGATTTATTCTATATCTATATCATTTGTACTACTAGATATCAATGAATGCCTTAGTAGAAGCCATGCTTGTGACGTGACTGCGAATTGTACCAACACTGATGGCTCCTATAATTGCACCTGTAAGGAAGGATACACTGGGGACGGACAGTCATGCCACGGTATATTAGATTAGACTTAGCTAGCATCATACAAAGCTACTTTCAACAATATCCAGGGCCTGCCCTTAAATTTCCGTACATGAAAAGATGCAATGTGATTTACAACCTCAGACATGGCAAGTGGAGTCAAATCCAAAAGTGAACAACATTTACGTGTAGAATCGTTACTCTTCTGGCCAAATCCAGTCCTTCGAATGCGATCCATCTAGTGGCTATGTATGCATTTACCTCCATATGGTGTATTATGTCGATCAGTATTGAACCGAGACATGAGAAGTAGCTTTTTTCACAAGCTAGAAACTGTACTTAGCAAACGTAAGTTAACTAAGTCTGGTGGCTGGAATGTATTTGTGTACAAAAGAAAAACTGATGTTGAGCTAAGTTCTCGAATGAAAAATTGCAAGATTTTTGATTCACGATGTGCGAAATGTTTGACATGCATACTTCTTTATGAAAATACTGCGCTAAAAAGTTTCTGTCTTTCTTGCACTGTCTCCACACTGGACGCTTACTACATTGCTGATACTAAAAGCTTGACGGGTGCCAGATATAACTCGGTCCTAACTTGTTCTTTACTCGTTACAAATCTTTACCATATCTCTCAACTGAGGACGTTCTCTTCTAGACGTTGACGAGTGTAGTGAGGTTCATGGCGTCAAAATGAACGACTGCCATCCTAATGCCTCATGCGTTAATACCCAGGGCTCATACAACTGCTCTTGCAATCCTACCTATATTGGGAATGGTTCTATATGTGAAGGTAAGTTTGTTATTTTTAGGCTTCACAACTTTGTAACTCGATAATATATGTCTTGTTGAATGTTACGAAACAGTGCGCAAAGTTGATAATACAAATATTTGACAAGGGGAAGCATAAATCCTTGTCATCTTATACGCGAAATTACTGTAACTCTTGATTCGATGCGAACTTAAATCATCTTTAACCTATTTTGGGAGTGAGGGGAGGGGATAGCTTGGGCATTTGTTCTTGTTTTGACTGGCAAAGTTTTGGACTAAATTATATGCCTAATAAAAATAATTTACCGTCCGTAAAACTCACAAAACTATGAAAGTTTCCAACCTTAATGCTACGTTATTATTAAAAGAGCGATGAAAATTTCTCCTCGTTAAGGTAATTTAACTTTGTAGGCGATCCGTGTTAAAAATGAAAAAAAACTGAGTGATGTCATTAGAAAGAGCAGTTACTAAACACCGGTACACGGACTAGCCTCTTTATCAAGGGTGGTGGGGGTGGTTAAGGCATTTATCTTTGACTGGAAAAGTTTTGAATTAAATCATACATGTTACTCACCAGAGAACTCACGAAACTTGCATTAGTCCTAAATTCTGCGGGTTTCTTGAGGCTTCGTCATTGTGAAAAAAAAAAGTGAAAATTTCTTCCGTTATCCTTATAATTATCATTTAACTTTAATTTCTACAATATTTTTCGTACACTTAGAAACTTAGGACCTTTACTCCTTTCGAATGAATGTCTTTCATTTTTCTCTTTTTATTTTTTTCGTTTCTGTATATTTCCAGTGTAATTTAACTAAGAAATATAAGAAATTGGAAATCAAAATGATGGTGAGGTGAAAGTGTCTCTAGCCTCAAATGATTCCTTTGAGCTACATTGCGATTAAAATAACAGCGAAATTTCCCTTTCACAATTATTATTCAACTTTTTAGCCGATCCATGTTATAATTACCGCAACCTAAGTGATGCTAACAGAAAAAGCAATTACGCCACACCGCTCTCTGGTCCAGTAATTTGTGATTACTCACTCCTCGAGGGATGGTATCGTTTTGTGGGAGCTGCTGGGACAAAAATGCCAACAACGCGTGTGCCAGCATACAGATGTGGTACGGACTGGTCAGGCTGGTTGGATGGTGCTCATCCAACAGTGGAAGTTAGTGAAGTTTCCAGGAAGGTCTGCTTTAGCGATCGTTCCTCCGGTTGCAAATACTCAAACACAATTTCAGTTAAAAATTGTGGCTCATTTTACATCTACAAACTTGCTCAGCCCCCTGGTTGTGATTCACGCTACTGCAGCACGGACTAAATCTGGGTCTATTAAACTTACAAAATGAGATACGTCATAAATAGATTCTTGTGAACAACGTACTTTACGACTTGCATATTGGCAAAATTTTACGCCGAACTGTTAAATGCTATTATTATTAAAAGTTCTAATGATTGTGGGTATCAATTATTATTTAAATCATTTACGAAGACTTCTTGCCTGAAAAAATAATAAGTGAAAACTGTCAAATCCACCTAACTTTCCATAACCTTCTACACTGTTTCATAGCGTTTTACATTTTTGACAAGTAGCTTTATTATTTCATCAAGAGTTCTATCACTATTGGATGAATTATCCTATTGCAATGATGGGATGAACGAGCACTTTCCTTAAAAAAAATCAAGTATGAAAAAAAAAAAAAAAAAAAGAACAGTTAGTACGTAGACAAATAGGATCTCTCTACATAAAAAAATTTGCTTAGTCATACGCGTGTAACTTGCGTCTCTGTGCTTCGAAATAAACTGACCAAATAACTCGCCTTAGTGTTATAACATTAGTTACGAAGACTTTTGTCGACAAATTAAGTATTACAGAAGAAAAAAATAGAGAGGTCGAAGACAAACAAGTTTGTAGAATATTCATTTCGAATGCCTAAGTCCAGCAACTTTAGAGATAATAGCTGAGCAGGGAAGTCTAGAATGTTATTGTTACGTATTGAAAAATATATTGAATGAAGTATTTGACTTTGTACCACCTCGAAAAATTACGACTCGAGGATACGGGATAAAAGGTCACTGGGATATTTAATTTTTTAATCACAGCACCTTCTGTGTTTAAGGAGTTAAAAAATGTTTCGTTCTCCCGTTCCCCCGTTCTCCTGTTCCTCCCTGTTCTCCCGTTCTCCCGTTCTCTTACTCCTCCCTGTTCTCCCGTTCTCCCGCCCTGCCGCCCTCCTGCCCTGCCGCCCTCCCGCCCTGCCGCCCTCCCGCCCTGCCGCCCTCCCGCCCTGCCGCCCTGCCGCCCTCCCGCCCTCCTGCTCTCCCGCTCTCCCGTTCCCCCCATTCCTCCGCTTCTCCGTTCTCCTGTTCTCCTTTCCTCGTTCTCCGATCCTTGTTTTCCGTTCCTCGTTCTCCATTCCTCCTTCTCCGTTCCCCGTTCTCCGTTCCTCCTACTCCGTTTCCCATTCTCCGTTCCTCGTTCTCCGTTTTTCGCTCTCCGTTCCCTGCTCTAAGTTTACCGTTCCCTGTTTCCCCGCTCCTCGAACTTTGTTGCCCGTTCTTCGTTCCTTGTCGGAGTAACATCCTACTACTGCTATGATACAACAGTGGTCATTTCAAACAGCGATTTCCGAAACATCTCAGTGCCGTGAGCACTCTTATAGGAAAAAAGAATCTTTGTATTCTTAGAATTACCCTCGACCGAAAAAAAGTTTCAGACTGGTTTATACCCGGGGGAGTTAACTGGTGAGCTGTTGCGAATCCTGTCAGCTATAAGGGTGCAACAGAAGAAAAAAAAAGATCAAAGTTCATAGCTTAGTCTCTCCTTCGAAAGTTTAAGGCAAGTTTTATGTGCATTAGGAAAGTTGGTATAATCGAGATAAAAAGTGAAGGATGCAATGCGATTCACTGTTTCACGAGTAAAAATATTTTCTTGATTAATTTGTATTTCTGTTTTCATGTGTACGATAGAATACCAGGAAAATGAAATTAAAGAGCCCGATGAAATATTTCAAGAAAGTCAGCCGGTCAGCCGTGCGCCCACATAAAGTGTTCTTGATTTGGTTGATCATGGCAAAAGGAATTTTTGTTTTTGTCGTAAGTTCTGGTTTTGTTTGTTTGGTTTTTTTAATTTTCTCGTTAAAGCCAATGTCAAATTTTAATAGATTTTTAGCTTAGCAGTCGATTCGTGCCCAGCTCGGACCTCTACTCACGATATTTTAGTATTATCTATCGAGTTGATAACGTAAATTAGCCACCGTGAAGAGTTAAAAAGCATTTCGAGCGTTAGGCCTACGTCCAATCGCTCTGACGAAGGGCTAACGCCCGAAACGTCAGTTTTTTAACTCTTTGCGGTGGCCAATTTACGTTATCAAGTTAGTTGATAATACTTAATTACCCTGTTTTACTCTCCACCGACGCAGCACCACAGTTTCTTTGGAAACTTAACCCCTTGCAGAGAATTAAGGTAAGACTTAAGCTAAAGTAAGACCGGTTTTTAGTGTTAAATAGCAATATAATCATTTTGGATCAGAATGAGAATTATTAAATGTACCAAATGTAATAAAATATGTCATCTAGAATGTAACGAGGACACACTCTCAAATGTAATCAACTGACACTTTTAAATACAGTTCCATTTAAGCCTTAAACCTGAGTTCACGCGACAAGGTAATGTCGTTAATAAGAAAGCCCGACTAAAAATCATCCACAATGAGTCTTGGCGCTCTCACATGATAGTTAAATCACATAAATAACACCGCTAGCTGAAGAATCACGTTATGTCACCGCGTTTATTGCGCCTCGTGGTTGTTACAGATTGAAGCGAACTCCCTTCGGTCTAAGCGACGCGAGCTAAGCCTTTCAGAGGACGATGGACAAAATTTTGTTTTGCGTCCAGGATATCCACATTTCAGTCAATGACGTAATAATTTATGGCAAGACCACGGCCCAACTGGCTCAGCGGGCCCGCATGATTTTTTAATCGAAATCGCAAGTGTGAATTTGGGGCTGAGCAAATTTAAATTTTAGGCCTTGCTGTCTCTGAAAAAGGAATTGAACCTGATCCAGCCTAAACGGAAGCAACAAAGCTACACCTTCTCCCGACGACGTATCCGATCTTCTGTTGTTTCTTGGAACTTGTGGCTATGTTTCTAAGTTTATCCCAAATTATGCAAACATAGTCGAACCATTTCGAAAGCTCACTCGGAAAGAGCAGAAGAGGTCATAGGGAAATGAGCAAGCAGAGGCATATGAAGCCTTGAAAGAAGCACTGTCTGGCGCACCAGCCTTGGCTTGCACGCGACCTGCATATTGCTAGGATCAGCAATGTCGAAAGCGTAATGTTTAACGTAACATTACGCTTTCGACATGACTGATCCTAGCAGTATGCAGGACGCGTGTCATATGAAATTCGTAATAGACTTCGCTCACCGTGGAGTCTCTGTGGCTGAGGGGTTAGAGCATCGGAGCGCGGAATCCGAAGGTCTGAGGTTCGATTCCTCATGGAGACTCAGAATTGTTTCTTTGTCCCACCCTCGTGACAAGACGAAAAAAAATCTTTCTCACATAAGATTTGTTTTCACATGTCAGAACTTCAGGTTGTCACCCTCTCTGAAATGCGCTCCGAAACCAGCAATAACATCACGCTGTCCTAATTACTTCATTACAAATTCAATGCGGAAAATGGTCGCTGACGGATGATCTCAAACCGTATAGTGCAATAAGAGACGAATTGTCTAATTTCAAAGGAATTGTTCTCGGAGGAAACAGAATTGTTGTGCCACAGTCGTTGCGGAAAAAAATTCTGAAATTAGCATACGAGGCCCATCAGGGAATCGTCAAGACTAAAAAATTCTACGAACTTGTCTTTTATTGGCCTGGTAGGGATGATACAACAGAGACTGTGGTGAAGAATTGTCAAGCGTGCGTTGTTAATCAGCCTCTTAATAAGTACACGCCGCTTCAACCAAACCTTTACCTCGTGGTCCTTGAGTAAAAGGTCCACTGGATCTCGTTGGTCCAATCGATGGAAAATCCATTTTGACTTATATCGATTATTATGCTTTTGTTCAATCGCGAACTTCGAACCAAACAGCATTATCGGCACTCGATCGCGAACACTGGTCAAAATGCAATTTGTAGCAAACGCGTTAGAAGGCATATCACGACAGCAGGCAACATACAGAACCGCATAATTCAGATATTGGCGATCTCGTATTTTGTGTCAACATGAAGCCAGACGAACTAGATTCAAATTTCTCTGCGGCCAAGCTCGTAATTATTGAGACCAAAGCAAGAGACACCTTTGGTTTAGTCAATGTGGACACGGTTACCACTTTGAGACGCGATGCGAAGTTCTGTTGCGAACTGCTATCTACTATAGTCATCCGATCCTGCTTCACCCTGCGAAGTCTACCAACCAGGGATCGTTTAGCAGGGATAATAAGAGAGTAGCTAAGAGTTTAATCGTTTATTTACCTCGGTTGGAAAGCCCACTGTTGATAAAATAATTCATTGGCTTTGTCGATATAATTTCGACCTCTCAAAGCCAGCTTTGTTCCATCGAAACACCCAGAGGCCAATTAATTCAATTTTAAGAGAGTGGAATGCTCACAAGTCGCACAAGTTGTTCGTTCAATGTCATTAAACAAGTCGCCTGGGATTGATAAACTCCCTACTTGCGTGATTAAAGACAGCCTCCCCGCTATCCTGCTGGTTATTAAAATCAGTAATAAACGCTTCGCCTACTAGCGACATTTTTCCGCGTGCTAGGAAGATTGCTGAGGTTCAAGTTCACCGATCTTAAAAGATGGCGACCACGAGGGACCAAACAATAAAAGACCCGTCTCTCTTGCCCATTCTGTGGAAGATATGTGAGAGAATTGCTCTCGGTCAGATCGTGCCTTATCTAGAGTCGAATAAAAGATAATCCGGCTACGCCGCAGAGTGGTAACAAGAAACAACGCTCAAGAAAGACTTCACTAATAAGTACTACTAAAACCATCCTAAGCGGCATGGACAAAAAGAAAGTAAGTCCGGTTGTGTTATTGGATATAAGTAAGGCATTTGACAGCATAAACCATGAAATTCTGCTGAATAAATTTCAGGACGTTAGCTTTTCACCCTTTCACATCACTTGGTTTAACAATTATTTATGTGAAAGACATCAAGTCATCCGTGTAAATAATGAACTATCAGAACTATCTACCCGTGGAAAGTGGCGTCCCACAAGGCAGTATCCTACGGCCTATCCTACTTAGTATCTACGTGAACGATCTATCATCTGTATTCCGGCATTGTTTATCTGAAAACTACTTCTCTGTTATTAATGGTGATTTCCTCAGAATTCTAAATTGGTGCTTCGATAATCGTCTTCTTCTAAACCGACAGAAAAGACACAGCTCGTGCTATACCGAAGTCGCCAAATACTCTCTAACATCCCTGACGTCCGTTTGTCGTTTTTGGGGAAAGATCTTATACCCGCAAAAGCCGTTAAAGATCTTAGCCTTACACTTGATCTGAACCTCACAATTTAGAATCACAGCCTTAAAACTATTTCGTCCTGTATGCCCAGCCTTGCTCAAATCAGTCGTGTTAAGCATATGTTTGATAAAAATACTCTAATGACAATTATTAAAGCCCTCGAATTCAGTAAACTGTTTTGTTGTTCATCCGTTTTTTCAAATGCAGCAACTACACATCTACCTACGCCTCAGGCTGTACAGTACTTCGTCGCCCGGATCATCAGCAACACCAGGAAGTTCGATAACGTAACCCCAATCTTGAAAGATTTACGCCGGCGGACAGTTTTGTTATAGCCGTGATTTAGACAATTCTTTTAAGCTGCGTCAATCTAACTTTAGTTTTAAAAGAAAATTGAGAGGTTTTACGTAAATTTTTTACTTCTCAACATATTGTAATTTTAATCGTGTTTTGTTGTAATTTTACAGCGACTGTATTGTAGTTTTTAGATGATGAATACCGAAAAGCCCTCCTAGGGAGTGTTGATAAATTTTTTACGGTATTGTATTGTAATTTAAAAGTTGAAAATTTTTACCAGTAAATTCTTCTGCGCTCCTCCTCCTTCTTGAGACTCCCCCCACTTCCCATGCCCTTAGCCAGTTGATGACTCGCGCTGGGTTGGCGCGAAAATTATTCCTGCTGTCGTTTTCTTTCTTTTCATTTTCTTTTTTAGAGTCCTGCAGTTAGTCGCTAGTTACACATACATAACGGGGGTTGATAAGCTCACAATAGAGTGCAGAGTTTTGTTTTCGAGGTTTTGAAGATTTAAAAAGTGTGAACTAAACTTTAGTAAAAAGGAAAAAAGGAAGAAAGGAAGAAAGAGAGAGGGAAGAGGAAAATGAAAGAAAGCGAGAAAAAAAAAGGGAAAGGGAAGAGAAAACTACAAGGAAAAGAAACCGAGTTCCTAACGTACTGGAAAATACCTAAAAGTAACATATGGCTCGAACAATCGAGATTCAAGGTCACGTTTATGCAGAAAATATCACGCATGACTACATCATTAACAGTTGAAACTGAAACTCGAAACTGAAAGCCACGCCGACGAACAGACTTTTAGAATCACGAGAGATGCTGGGTTTACCTTTTTTGGTGATAAGCTAAAACTTGGAGTGTAGGGAATCATCTGCCTGATGATTTTTTCACGCAAGTAACTTTGTTTCTCAGCAACTTAAGAGTGAAGTAAATCCTGCATCCACCCCTAGAGATCTCATATGACATGGAGTCGTCAGAAAACTAGTCTATCTCTTTGGATCATATCCATTCAGAAACCTGCAAATCTTGGAGAACAACTCTCCATTATGGAAAGCAGAGGTCTATTGACAGCTGCCGATCGTTCTTCTAGATCCTGCCGAAGAGTTATGGTCATTCTTGTTGCTATTGCAATGGCAATTTCTGCAATTATCGCGGCAGTGTTCATTGGAAAATACGTTTCGGAATACCTTAGGGTTGATAACAGGAAAGGTAAGTATCAGATGTCACTCAATTTTTGCTATTTATTCAGAAGTCAAAGATAAAAAAACAACATATCTGAACAAAAGAGAGAAGTTGGTCGAGATTTCAGCACATCGATGTGTCATTGTCGATGTCCTCAGTAGTAGAAAGTAATCATCTCATTTTCACGTAAAGCTAAAAGTTAGCGGACAAAATTAATCAATCGATATATGGACAAGACGATAAAGTAAGTATTCAGTGTGATCGTGTAAATGATAAGCATTAAAGAAGGAAACATGTAGGAGTACTTTCGTCCGCGTTGTCCAAACCCCGCCAGATTTATTTTTCAAATTCGATATCAAAAGCTTCGTAAATTTAAAAATACAAATTCTACAAAAAAGTCGTAAAGCTGGCGTTTTTGTCCTCTCATCAATGTTAGGTTAAGAGCGATAAGTTTTAAATGTGCTTTGAAAATCAAAGAGGCAAGCGATCCGTTGACAGAACATGCACGAGCACATAAGTAGCTGCGAGGCTACTTAAGAGCATCCCAGACTTAAGACTTAAGACTTAAGAGCATTCTAGCGGAAAATTTCAATTGCATAACGTTATCTGCCTTTTTTAATTACTCAGTGGGTACCCAGGGTGCGTCTCTTACAACAGTGAAGTAGGCTCCTGAATACAACCAAAAGTTACAAAATGGCCTATAATAAGCAGATAACTATTGTTCCAGTTATTTTCTTTACACACAGTTTCATCAGTTACCTTTAGATTAGTAATAAATCAGTCCTTTTATGGAGCCTTTTTTTTCTTAAAATAATAAACAGCACTGCACGAAATGAAACTTGAACTAAAAACTTCTTTCATGCTCCTACGCTTCTTATCTGACAGCAGCAGGAGTTTATAAAAGTAGGCAAATAAGCTTGCTCAGATACACATGGTTAATAATATGTCTAATTTCGACTTCTAATCAAAGAGTGAAGCAAAAGTGTGACAAAAGTGTTGTAAATGCGTGACAAGAGTATAAGAATAAGAGTGCGTATTTCATGATGGTGGTAACAGATTAAGAACTAAATCTACGTGAGTTCTTGTAAGTTTTGTATACGAATTTCGGTTTTTGAGTCCATGCTGTTTTGATGTAGGAGGCAGAAATAGCAGCTATAATTTCACTTTAATGGTGTCTTCAATTGTAGGGTGTCACGATGACAAATGGCAAGTTTACTAGAATAATTTGCTTTTCCTTGTGTAGGCCAGAAAGGAGATTTTGTTTTGATATTTTGTTTTCTTTAACTCTAGATTGCACTGAATTATAAGTTCTTCGGACAACAATCAGGCCAAAACGATGTCATATTTCCTTCCAGGGTAAAAGTTAAAATGAATGTTTTCACGCTCTTGTGTTGTTCCTCTATTAAGCTACCATTTTCAACATTACTCGTGTCCCCAGGCATCGACGAGTGGAGCACTGGAAGCTATGTATGTGACATAAATGTGAACTGTACTAACACTGACGACTCTTATATCTGCGCCTGTAAGGAAGGATACACTGGAGACGGGAATTCATGCCAAGGTATAATCATTGCATTTGACCTGGCAAATAGCAGAATGAAGTTTCCTACAAATAATAGAAAAACTCTTTCCATTAAAACTTAGAAATTTGATGATTTTCTCTCTGTCAAGTAACGTTTTGGCAATTCATTTTTGTTCACAGATGTCAATGAGTGTAGCGATGGCAACCATGTTTGCCATGTTAATTCGAACTGTAACAACACAAATAGTTCTCATATTTGTACCTGCAAAGAAGGATACGCTGGAGATTGACAGTCATGTCAAGGTGAGTAAGAGTAGCCCACAATACTAAAAACAAACAGCTTTACTCATAAGCTATCGCCCATGAAAATTGTCCCACATTTTAGAGGCCTGTTTTCACGCACCACTATCGTATTTCTATTAAATTACTTTTATACATCACTAACGCTGCTAGATATCGACGAATGCAGCAAAGGAAGCCATGATTGTGACGTAAATGCACATTGCACCAACACCGATGGCTCCCATCGCTGCACCTGTAAGGAAGGATACACTGGAAAAGGAGAGTCATGCCGAGGTAAAATTAGATTAGACTTAGAAAAAAAAGCAGAATAACTGTTCATCGCAAATAATTGGCTTGTTATCCAAAAAACTGGTTAACATTTGTTTCTCTAGGTAGTTAACCTTGAAAACAGATTGTGTTCATAGATATTGATGAATGCAACGATGATAGCCATGTATGTGATTTTAATGCTAACTCTACCAACACTAATGGTTCATATAATTGCATCTGTAAGGAAGGATACATTATAAATGGACAGTCTTGCCAATGTAGAATAGAACAGCGATACGTGATGTGGAGGACATCCATAACAAGTTTCATCATATGCATACATTACTCGTGTCCCCAGGCATCGACGAGTGCAGCACTGGAAGCTATTTATGTGACATAAATGCGAACTGCACTAAGTCTCATCATATGCATACATTCACATTTTTCGATGTTTTAAAATATAACACGCGCGGATATTTTACAAGTTGCTCGGTATTTTTCCTAGTGCGGAAGGAAACAGAATAATTTTGAGCCACGAGCAAAATTTCTTCTGGTAAGATATGATAAACCATGGAATATGAGATTTATCATTTTACCATTACTTGGAATATTTTTCTCGAATATGCGGCCACGCTCGGATAACCACCCCCACCCTTCTCCTCCCTCACTTTTTTAAAAAGTATAGATGCAAGGAAAGTCTGTTTCTGGTGCCACACTTTTTTTTTTGTAACTTTTCAACTTTCAACGACAGCACAGTCGGTACAGCAGAATAAATTTATTTTCCATTTCGGATTTTTCTATCTTCATGTGCTTGCAGATTATTTTTTATGTATCATCTATTGTTTTGATTTTATATCCTATTGCTGAGGTGACTTAAGAAGCGCCCCTCTCGACTAATCGACAAAGTGCCCACCCTACAAATAAGTGCCCCCTCCCCCTCCTTGAAATAGTAGAAATTTTCAATAAGCGCCGAAGCACACATTGAAAATTTCTACTATTTCAATTATTGAAGTACACAAAATATTACCTGAGGAACTAAACATGTATCTTGCGGAGTTTATTCACTCTTTTCGACTGAAAAACAGACAAGATTATGAACCCTCAGGCTTAACATGCTTTGTTTCAAGTATTGAGAGGTATCAGTTTGTTAGTTTTTGCTAGCTGTGAGGGAAATTTATATGGTTTGCATCTTTCATGATCGATTTATAAACTATTTACTTAAGTCTGTTTAACAATTGTCATTAAAGGGGAATTTATTCTCTTTAATAAAAACTAGATAGTAAACCAAATGCATCATGTAATGTCGGTCCGTATGGTATGTAAAAAATCTTACTCGTTTGCTGTGCTCACTCCCTCGATTTCCGATACCACGCTCTCATGCGTAAATATTATCCAGACAGACTTTCCATGAAGTATTCTATATCTCTATCATTTGTACTACTAGATATCAATAAGTGCCTCAATGGAAGCCATGCTTGTAACGTGACTGCGAATTGTATCAACACTGACGGCTCTCACAAGTGCACTTGTAAGGAAGGATACACTGGGGACGGACAGTCATGCCAAGGTATATTAGACTTAGCATCATACAATGCTACTTTTAAGAATATCCAGGGCCTGCCCAAAATTTCCATACATGGAAAGGTGCAATGTAATTTAAAACTTCGGACATTGCAAGTGGAGTGATATCCAAAAATGAACAACATTTACGCGGAGAATCGTTATTCTCATGGCCAAATCCAGTCCTGTGAATGCGATACATCCAGTGCCTATGTATGTATTGAACTCCATATTATGTCTATCAGTACTGAAATGAGACACGAGAAGCAGTTGTAAGAAAACTAAGTTTGGTGGCTGAAATACATTTATATAGGAAAGGAAAATTAATGTTGAGCTTGCTTCTCGAACAGAAGCATCAAGAATTTTGGTTTACGCTGTAGAAAAAGGGTGTGGCATATGTATTCCTTAACAAGAATACTAACCTAAAAAATTTCCGTCTTTCTTGCACTGTCCCCACACTGGACGCTTACTTCATTGCTGATACTAAAAGTGTAAAGGGTACTAAATATAACTCGGTTTAACTTGTTAACTTAAAATCTTTACCATATCTCTAAACTGAGAACGTTCTCTTTTAGACATTGACGAGTGTAGTGAGGTTTATGGCGTCAAAATGAACGACTGCCATCTAAATGCCTCTTGCGTTAATACCCAAGGCTCATACAACTGCTCTTGCAATCCTACCTATATTGGGAATGGTTCTATATGTGAAGGTAAGATTGTTATTTTCAGACCCCGTAACTTGATATTGTACGTCTTGTTAAATATTATTAAGGAGCACGCAGAGTTGGTAATACAAATATTTGATAAGAGGAAGCATAAATCCTTGTCGCCTAATACGCTAAGAAATTACTGTCACTCTTGATTCCATGCGAACTTTAATCACATTAAACCTATTTTGGGGATGAGAGGGAGGAGGTGGCTGGGGAATTTGTTCTTGCTTTTACTGGCAAAGTTTTGGACTAAATTAAATGCGTAATAAAAATAATTTACTGTCCATACAACTCAGGAAACTATGAAAACTAAGTCTCCAACTTTAATGCTACGTCATTTTTAGAGAACGATGAAAATTTCTCTTCACAAATGTAATTTAACTCCTTCAAAATGAACGTCTCTCATTTTCCTCTTTTTATTTTTTTGATTTCTGTATTATTCCAGTGTAATTTAATTTAGTTAAATTTAATTTAGTGAAAGTAGAATTAACCCCCTCGATTAGCATCCGCTGTCTTTGGGTCAAAGGAATATCTTGCATACATATACAAGAAAATAAAAGTAAAAACGATGGTGGAGTGAAAGTTACAAGTCTATAGCTCCAAGCGATTCCTTTGAGCTACGATATGATTAAGATAACAAGAAAATTTCCCTTTCACAATTATCATTCAACTTTTTAGCTGATCCATGTTATAATTACCACAACCCAAGTGGTGCCAACAGAAAAAGCAGTTACAATACACCGCTCGTTGATCCAGTATTTTGTGACGACCAACTCCTTGTGGGATGGTATCGTTTTGTGGGAGCTGCAGGAACTAAAATGCCAACAACGCGTGTGCCAGCATACAGATGTGGTGCAGACTGGTCAGGCTGGTTGGATGGTGCTCATCCTACAGTGGATGATGATGAAGTTTCCAGGAGGGTCTGCTTTAGCGATCGTTCTACAGGTTGCAAATCTTTAATTAACATTTTAGTTAAAAATTGTGGATCATTTTTTAGTTACAAACTTGCTCAGCCCCGCTACTGTGGCACGGACTAAATCTGAGTCTGATAACTTCACAAAATGATACACGTCATAGAGAGATTCTTGTGAACAATGTACTTTACGACTTACCGTGGCCCACTCCTTATCGTGATCGTGAATACCATCGTTGTATAAGCTGGTGTATATTGCCAATCTCTTTACGTCGGTGACGAACTGTTACATGTTATATATATATTATAAGAGTTCTAATGATGGTGGGTATGAAATCTCATTCGATTAATAATTAATAAGAACTGTCAAAGGACCAGGTAGTGTATTTAATTAGAAAGGAAGGTTCTTGATCCCAGATACTGACGCTTCTGGTATAATTTGTCATCCCATAAAACATTTGTTAAAAGCTGGATTCTTCTACAATCACTAGAGTATCTCGCCTTGATGTTACCTTAATACGTTTATTATCAATAAATTCATTATCATCTCTGAGTTTATTAATTTATCTGAAGTCTAAAATTTAATGAAAGGTAACAGAAGTTATGGGCTCCTGAGGTAATTAAAGTGTCTGGAAACTGTTTTCCGAAACACCTTAAGACTAAAGTTGTATTCAAAGCGCTCGAAACCAACTTTCGCTCTTCGTAGTCGAACCAATATTACACATGTGTTGACCAAAGGACTGAAGTTTTAAATAGTCGCAGAGCAATCGTTATTATTATACAAATATCATAGGGAAATCCTGTTAAAAAGTTTTAAGGGTCGGTCCAGGAAAATGCTCGATATACTTTTCATACAACTTCAGAATTTTTCTTTTCTTCTGAGGAAAGGTCTCGCTGAGTAGTAACTTTTAATGAACTAGAATTTTTTAGAAATTTACATTTTCTCCTTTACTCTCATCGGTTTTCTGTTACACCCTTGATATGAGGTCGCCTCTTCTTGCCAACTATCTTATGACTCTTATTGCGCATTGCTTTTTCTATGAGTTAGAGCAGAATACCTTCCATGTGACTTGATACTATCACGGAATGGGGTGGACAGGCAGAGAAGTAGGTGCAACTTCCGCAAGTTAGGTCGTCTTTTAATAGTTGACAACGGAAGCAAGTTTATCCCCCCATCCTCCCACTTCTCATCCCAGTTTCCGTATCCCAAGAGTGCACTCTTGATGGTGCAATGCTTTAAAAGTATGTTGCATTTGCATGAAAAAGGATGGCTACTGAAACAAAGTCAACGGTAATTCTGAAAAAATTATTTGGATTTGGCGCACGGTATTCGGATGCTGTTGAGCCCGCGCAACCATATTTCGGAGATAGGGTGGTTACAAAACGCTGAACATTGCTCGAGCTACAATTTCGAGCCCAGGGTCATTTTAGCTCCTTGTCAGCGGTATGATCGCCAAATAATGACTTCTGGGAGAATGGATTAATTTAATTTTTCTGATTGGTTGATGGGAAAACAATAGACTCCTCACAGGAAGTGTGATTTACGGAAGGGATC